AAGTCTAAGATTTATTGACTTAACACCAAATTTAAGAAACTCATTATCAAACTCTTTCCATTGCATAGAGTCTGTTGGATGACAAATCAATCCATTACATGTCCTTCCATCTGCGTGCGATCTAAGTTTTTTAGCGTTTTTAGGATTTGCAAACAAATGCTTAAACCTTAGAATTATTAGAAGATACCAAATGGACTTGATAGAGCTCCCTCAATAGAAATGTCCCCACTATTATCCTAATTATTATCCTTCACTTTGTAACGAGATAACTACAAATTGGACATCTTTTTAGCTTTTCAAACTCATTTTTATATAAAATACAATCATTGAGACAAAGTATTTTTTATACTTTGGACAAAGTATTTTTTTTAGCCTCATAATTACGATTGAGTAATATATTTCCTTTTAGAAGCATTTCCTTCAACAATTGAAGTAATTCAGTGAAACTTTTATCAGTCAACCTGTTCATTGCTTTCAAATTTACCAATATTAAAACTATTGACAACGCTACAGTATCTTCATACACATGCATTTTTGAGCAAAAAGTTCTACTTTAACATCATAAATCATGTCCTCTAATCGATCATCCATGGTTGAGTAAACTAAATTGTGAACAGATTCATTTATACCTGACAAATCTAATAGTTCACCATGCCAAGTCTGAATTGTGTAATTTTTAAGAAAACTGTCACATAAAATATGCTTCATAATTTGCTCAATATTTAATAATATTTTATTAAGACAATTAACACATGGACACCTAAATCTTCCACCACTAGAACTAGTGGAAGTATTTTGATGTGCAAATAATAAAAATTCTTTCACTCCTTCCTTATACCCATTAGGTATGCGGGCACAATTAATCTAATTTTTATCCATTTATAGATTTTGTAATGCATACACAACTACATAATTCAATTAACAATACAAAATGTCAGGGATCGGACATCCCCAGACTCAACACCAATTCGTTCAATAAAATTTCATATCACTATCAATCATCACAATGCTAACCATAAATTAATCCATACATTAATCAAGACAAATCAGTTACTTACTAGAAAGGAAGAATGATCTCTCATGGACCGCTACCAAACAAGCTCGTAGACCACCACAAGAGGAGCACGATGAGAGGGAGAGAACCACCAAGAACACGAGAGGCATAATGCACACCTCGAGGAGATGCAAGACGCAGAGAGATGACGAACAATGAGGGAGAAGGAGATACAAGAAAGTGAGGGAGTGAGAGAGAGGGTGATGCAGGAACGAGGAAGGAGGGGACGACGAAAGTGAGGAACAAGGATGAACAGGAATATGGGTTTAGAAGATATGACTCCGGTTATTACTAATAACCGTCGTTGTATAGGATATACAACGACGATCATTAAAAACCCGTTATCGAAGATGTGGTGTCTCCCACATTCAACGACAATTAAAAAAAAATGTTATCGATAGGGATGCTAATTAAACTCGTACTCGCGGGGACCGTTCTGCTATCATCCGGAGTTTGACGGAGAAAAATCAAGTTGACCGAGGACGAAAGTATGTTCGGATTTTCCTATCCCGACCTTGTTCCCGTCCCGACTTTATATTTAAATTTATATATTAAAATATTAATATTTTAAAAATATTTCCTTTACTTTCTTCACTATATATAAGGTCCTTTTTTTTATATTTCATCAATTTTATTTTTCTTCTACCTATTTTTTCATTTTTTTGTCTTTTTTAATCTTTTATATCAATTAATTCATTACATTATTTTTTTTTCTCTTACATTTCACTTACTCACATTTTTCTTAATCTTTTCAATCAATTTGATTTTTTCAATCTTTTCAATTAATTTGGCAAATACAAGGTTAACTTTTCTTCTTTTTTATCCTTTTCTAAATATTCTAAATCAATCTTAGCATTAACTAATATTATTTTATTTATAATTTATCTTTATTAGGTCAAATTGATTTATCCTTTTTTATTATGTCATATTTTTTGGATCTTATTATTTTTATTTGTCATATATCAAATTTTATATTAATAAAATAATTGTATCTTGAAGGATAAAAAATAATTGATAATTAAAACTTTTATTACTTTCAACTAATTAAATAAAAAGTAACTTATTAATTTTTTTCTATAAATTATATTTTTTATATTTTTAAATGATAATTTTAAAAATAATTAAATTATATATATGTAATCAAATATTTGAATATAATAATAATAATAATAATATTAAGTATTTTATATCCACATAAAGAAAAAATGATTAAATGTTTCTTTTACGTATATTTTAATATAAATATAATAAATTAAATTATATTTATTTAATAATTATTATTATAAATTATAAAATAATAAACATTTATTCATGTATAAAAAATATTAAAATTAATTTATTATAAGTATAATTATTTAAAAAAAATATAAATCGAGAGAAGAGACAGGAAACCCGAAACTCAACGTTGAAAAAGTGGTGTCATCCACATTCAATAACGAGTTTTTAATAATCTGTCGTTATATATATTATACTACAACAGTTATTAAATAATCGTTGTTATATAATTTTTATTATTTAAAAAAAATGTTACTGTGACGTCTTCAACAACCCAAAAATATATCATTTTCTGCTCGAGTGTAAGGAGAAGAAAAATAATAATATTAAAATATAAAATTGCTTTCTTATTTGAGTTTCTTTTATTTTAATTATGTCCTTTATTTAGTTTTATAAACTTACAACTTTTACCCATTTAAACTATTTTTACTGAATCAAAACGATTATTTTGTTGATTTTTTTATTAATAATAATAACATCAACGTATCATTTTTATAATTTGTCACTAGCCACTAAGTCTATCAATTATCATTATAAACCAATGAAATGAAAAAAAAATACAACATAAAGACTTAAAAAAATAACTTAACAAATTGATCTAAAATAAGACAATAATGATGAATTAACTTATATTTTAGCCCAAAACATAATTGAAAGGATGGAGAAAAGTATTCATAAGAAAGTAACTGTAAAAAAACTATAATATCAAACTATAAAATATATTTTTTTATCTTTTTCACTTTGTATCCATATTTAGATCATCAATTTTTGATCCAGTGAATCTGATTTTGAGTCTCTACCATAGGCAAGATATTATAACTTTTTAATTCTAATCCATTTCAAAAAATATTTTATTGGGAAATCAAAGTGTGGATTTTAGTCTCACATTAACTAAAAATAAGAAAGTTAAAATAAAAACTTATAACCTAATATCTTAATATTTTAGGTTAAAGGTGATGACAATCTATTATGTGAGTTGGATTTATGTCTCATTGTTATTGTGTTTATCACAATGAATCTCTCATTGAAAAACCTATCTCAATGATATCAAAGTCGATGATTTGTGTAGTGATCGAGAATTTAAGAGTGGTCCTTATACTGAAAGTCTTTTTGACAATGAATAAGATAAGTGTGTCCCATTTTGATGAACAACTATATAAGTAAGAGTCACTAGTAAACTTGATGGGGTGTACCAATGTGAAGGGACTCACGCTTAAGGGGGATTGTTGGAAAATTTAAGTATGAGTCTAAATATCTCATATTGAGTAAAAACGAGGAAGTTGAGTAACATATAAAGAATAAATACTTATAATACAATGACTTAAGGTTTTTTATTGAATGTGATATCAATCATTTTTGTGAATTAAACTCATATCTCATCGGTGTTGTTTCTCTTCGACGAATTTCCCCTTAAAAGATCCATCAGTGGTATTAGAGTCGATGATTAGTGTAATGATTGACGGTTTAAAAGTGATATTTGTATTGAAAATCTTTTAGAATTAGGTTAGACAAATGTGTTTTGTTATAATGAACAACAATATAAGTAAGGACCCCTCGTAAGCTAGAGGAGGATATACCAATGTGAATAGACTCATATTTGAAAAGGAGATGGTTAGGAAATCAAAGTACGGGTTTAAGTCTTACATTGAGTAAAAATAAAGAAATATTTGAGTTGATGATTTGCATGATGACTATCTGTGTAAGAATGATTTTTATATTAAAAGTCTTTATGATGATGAGTCAGACAAACATATCACATTAAGATGAACGACAATACAAATAAACACTATTAATAAATTCAATGGGATATACCAATATAAATGAGCTCATACTTAAATAAAATATTATTAAAAAATATAAATTTGAGACTTTTTTATATAGTTAGAAGACTTTTTATCGGATTTAAATTATAGACTTGTTACTCTAATCTTATAACTAAAATTAATACAGTAAAACAATTTTAATAAAATAATTTAAATGAATAAAATATCGTTGTTATTCTTTGTGAAAGAAAATATCATTATTTTACAAAGTTATATATATATATATATATATATATATATATATATATATATATATATATATATATATATATATATATTTTTTTTTTTAACTAAACAAGACGTAGGAGAAATTAGTTTTTGATACGCTAAGAACATGGTAGGTATTTCACATTTTTGTTTCTTTAATAAAAAATCATTTATACAGTAAAAATAATGATGGGAAACATTTATCATATTAAAAGTTAATTACATAGATTGGTTGATATGGATGAAATACGGTCCAAAAAATAATATAAAAACATGAGGTTTCCGTTGCATTCTTTCTCACCCATTTTGTTAGGGTTTTGCGAAGCTTCTCTCCGGTTGCGTTGCTCGACGCTCACCGTCACCGGCCAGGTCCACCGGTCATAGAACTCCGCTTAACTGCCATACACGGTGGCCGTACGCCATTGCAAAATTGTCATACTCTCTTCTGGGCCACTCTAGAACAGAAAATCGCAGCAACTGTCTTCACGGTACCGTGTTTTCTCGCTTGGTTACAGGACATCGATGCTGTATTTTGAAATTAAAGTCGTGGTGCTAGGTTTTACCGATTCTCGATCATTCTCACCAATGTTTCTTTGCTTTTGGATTTTACATTCAGACGAGGAAGCTTGATACGTGAGAATATGGTAGAAGTAGGGGAAGAGGTTATTGAGTTCAAGTGGGGTAATGTGAAATCGGTTGGTGGGAAGAAGAAGGATGTGCGCTTCTACGAATCGTTTTCCTACGACGGTGTGGAATACTCGCTCTTCGACTCCGTGTTTCTATACAAGAAAGGTGAACCCGAGCATTACATTGGTAAAATCGTTAAAATATGGGAGACCGCTGATAAGAGCAAGAGAGTCAAGGTTCTGTGGTATTTTCGTCCTTCCGAGATTGTAAACTTCTTGAAAGGAAGTGAGGCACTCGAGAATGAGTTGTTTCTGGCATCTGGTGAAGGTGAAGGGCTTGCAAACGTCAATCCGCTGGTAATAGGATTTTTCTTAATTGATAGTCTTCGTTCAACTCGGGTTATATTTTACCTTCTGATGTTGGTAAACTCCTGTGTTTAATACTGGAATGTGACTTTCTTCAATGCTATCTGTTTGATCGGAGTATGTGGGAGAGTGACTTGGTAACTGTCTAGTTTCTACTACTTGGGCTTTATTAATGTCATTATGGTTAAGGATGGTGGATAAGTTTATAGGGTGTGCTTTAGGTTAGTCCATTGTGAAGTTCTAGGCTATGTGTGGGTGTTTAATGGTGATTGGAATGAAATAAAATGTGGTGGAACAAAAATAAACTGCACTGCAATGAAGTTAGCACTACATTGTCCAGATGTATTTAGATAGAAATAAGATGGGGTGGATTTTGTCCAGGGAAAGTTGTTAGAAGTTCCACATTGAGTAGAATAAACTACTTGATGTGGCATTTCAACTTCAAAGTTCTCTCACCTAACGAACTAGTCTTTTGGATTGAATTCTCCTTATATGTTTAAGTCTTAACAGACGTACAATAATTTCTTAGGAGGGAGCTTCCAAGCTAATTTACAATCATATTGTTATGTGTGTGCCTTTTGTTCTCTATTTAAAGATCGAATCCATGGGTCTTTAATAAATTGTTGTTTATAGAATTTAGTTTGAACCAATGCTTCTTTTTACAGAGAAACTATTGCATGCATTTTTTTTCTTGGATTGGAGTGGACTGGCAACATCTAAAAGACTGGCTTTTTTTTTGTTCATTTTGTATATTGCATCAGGAAGCTATTGCTGGCAAATGCAATGTTGTTTGCACTTCAAAGGACAGCAGGAATCCATATCCATCAGATGAAGAAGTTCAAATGGCTGAATTTGTATTCTATCGTTTCTTTGATGTTGGAAAGCGTACAATATTGGATAAGATAGATGATAAGATTGCTGGAATTGAAGGTATGCCATCCCATTTATTTGAAAATTATTCTCTAAAATTCCTCATTTTGTGATGGAATTACACTTGCACCTGTGGGTATATAGGGGAAACTTGTACACTACCCTAGAGTTCTTTTTAATGAACTCATCTCATACTTTGAATGATTAATAAAAACGTAATTTTGTCCAAAAAAGAGTAAAAAGAAAAGACTGTCAAAATATTGAATGTAGTTAATTAGAGGGAATTCTGGAGAAATCTACAAAAGTCAAGAAACTTGAAAAGTGAACCTTTTCCAAATACATGTTAAACATTTTTCTCTTTTAATGTGAAAATTTTCATTATGTGGATATGTGTGTTTATTTGCATATATAAATTGAGCCGTCAAATTGATTTGAATGTTTATTGATGAATGACACTATTTTTTGTTGTTGTACTTAAACATTTCATTGATGTTGTTAAACCCAAATCATGTTCAATAAGTGGAATTCTATTTAGTTTTAAATTTTTCTGAATATCCTGTAAAATTGTTTCTCTAATTGTTGCAGTTAAAAATCTTTTTAACAATTTAGATAGTCGAAAGCATGTTGATCTTGTGAAACCTGGTTTAGAAAAGAAAGGAGTTAGCAGGAACTTCACGGCATGTAATGAAGCTGTGGCTCTTTTGAGTCAAAATAACAGTCAGCCTTTGATTGAAAAACCAGATGGCAAGTGTTTTGACACATTAGTTAGAGAAAATGCTGATTCTAAGTCATTGTTGGGGAAAAAACCTACTTCTAGAACTGGCTTAAAGGAAGCAAGTAAACCTAATGATGCTTTGCACACTATTTCCTACAAAAAGAATGTGCCACAAGCTAAAGGTGAAGAAAATGGTGGTTGCAAGGCCTCTTTGGTTAAACAAAAATCATTTTCTAAACTATCACATGGTTCTAGAGCTGGTTTCGAAATGAGGGAGATAACTAAAATGGATGATGGGGCTGGAAATGTCTCTTTTGAGAAGAACATTTTTATGTCTAGGGTTGATTTAGGAAAGGATGATCATGAGGATGTTTGTGTCCATGCTGGACAAATTAATAAGGGATTAGGGGAACAAAAGGCTTCCAAGAAGGAAAGACATGGCGATTTTGGCAAGGCTTCTAGTGCAAAGATGAACAATAATGGGAAAAATCGAAAGCTTATTACTTATGACGACGATGATGATGATGCAAAGACTTTAGCTCCATCTTCATCTAAGGATAAATATAAGCTTCAACGAGAAATAGATCCTTGTGATGTAAAGGAACTTCCTTCCAAGAAGTTAAAGATTGACAAGACAACAAAACTCACTAATGACAAGTTGTGCAAAGACTATTCAAAGATATCATCGATTGTGGAACAGAAGAGAGATTTTCGTCCAATGGAAGTTATTCAAAGACCAGATGATGTAAGTTGCATCGCAAGCCCTTTCTCTTTGTCTTCATAGTTCTTGTTCTCTTGGCACTTCTTACCTTATTACTTCACCACACAACCTAATGAACAAGATAGAGTTGTCAAGATATGGTTAACCTTGCATTTATCCCAATCGTGCTTTTAATGCATGGGTTCAACAACAATCTTGTTTGGCTAATATTATATCATAAGTTTAAATTTGATCCCCTTCAACTCTAGAGCCAATATAATTGGTAGTACAAAAGGGTTGGGTTGTTTGATCCTTGTAAATAATCCCTTTTCATTTACCACTTTGGTGCTTAGTTGGTGCTTCCCTATATGAGTGATGCATTGCTAGGGAAAAACTCTTTTCTATACTTTTTTTGGGCTTTTTTTTAAGTAAATACCAAACTCAATTTAGAAACTTGTTGTATTAATGGATCAAAATTAGTTTGATTGTGTTTATAGGTTGGTCTTGGAGTTCATCTATTGGGTTCGACAACAATATTGTTGGGCTAATATTATATCATAAGTTTAAATTTGATCCCCTTCAACTCTAGAGCCAATATAATTGGTAGTACAAAAGGGTTGGGTTGTTTGATCCTTGTAAATAATCCCTTTTCATTTACCACTTTAGGGCTTAGTTGGTGCTTTCCCTATATGAGTGATGCATTGCTAGGGAAAACCTGTTTTCTATACTTTTTTTGGGCTTTTTTTTAAGTAAATACCAAACTCAATTTAGAAACTTGTATTAATGGATCAAAATTAGTTTGATTGTGTTTATAGGTTGGTCTTGGAGTCCATCTATTGGGTTATCTCATAATGTTTAAATTTTATGCATACTTATTTTTGGTGGATTGTATTTTGAGGATATGATTGTCGCTAAGTCATTAGCATTTGAAGATGAAAAACTTATTTTCTTTAATCTATTTGAAGGTTTTCTTTAAGATATAGAATTGGATTTGCTTTGTCACCAATTTATTGTATTTTAGTTTGTAGTTGTGTAAGAGTAATTTTACTTATTGTATAATTGTCCTTTTTCTAAAAAGGAACCATGCAAGCATAACTCTTATAATTTGGGCCTAATGTAATTCCACTACATTGACTTATAAGGTGAGGATTCTCAAGCCTTAAAAGGAATACAATGATCATATTACAACACTTATATCCACTAAGAGTTGACATCATGGGGTTTCCACAATACAACACTTCAATAAACATTTTATATTAGCCCCTTGTTGGTAGCTCTTTCCTAGATATATGTGAGTTAGGTGTGATTGCTATTAAGACAACTTTCCAGACACCCTTTTTCATGTTGTGGGCTATGTGCATAGAGTGTGGCAATTTTAATGGTCCAACAATGTGTTTATCGCATGTTCTAATACCTTTTTAAATTTTGAGCTTAAGGTCTAATTCAATCCTACCAAATTTACTTTTGTGGTGAGAAATGTTCAAGCCTTATAAGAATTATGTTATTTATATTCTTGGTCAGTATCAGATCTAATCATGTGCCAAAATCCTAGTGGTTTCACACTATAATGCTTCACTTAATTTATAGTTTGTCTCGATGAGAAGTAATTGCTATTAGTGATGTAGTATCTCTAACATATTCTCTCATTTTGAGGATTAGACATCTCAAGCAAGAGACTAGATATTTATAGGTGATCTGATAACGATTTAATACTAGGTGGCACTAAAAGGTTCACAAGCTTCGTAAGATAGACTCTAATATCATTTTAGAAATTGTGAACTTTTAAGCCTAACACAATCTCGAAAGATAGTTTGTAAGTTAAAGTTTACTCTTACTTATATATTACAATTTGACTATATCTCTAGTTGATGTGAGATTTCCAATAATTACTTTACTCATCTTATTTTGGGTTAGAACATCGTAGTTAGTAGCGTGCAATAGTGTTGCCATCATGCTGAAGCGAAGTGACACCAATTTGCGGCAAAAGGTTGCATTGAGTCATACCATGATCTCGTGGCTATGAATCTCCTTTTTTTGTTCAAGATTAGATAGGTCTTGTCATTTTATGATGTTTTGTGTTGAAATTATGGTTTAAAATAAGGGCACAATTAGAACCCTAAAAATGTCGTTGTTTCGGGGTTATTTTTTGTTAAGGGTAGAAGGTTAAGTGTATGTTTTAAACTATAATCCATGTTTTTCACCCTATTCTCTCACTATCCCTCATGCAATTCACTCCTTCCTTCCTGTTTTGCTATCAACTTCCCTTGTCATTACTAAGAACTTTTGGTGATGTTTTCGATAAGACTTACTCTCTTCTTTCTTTCTTTTTTATTTAGCTACAATGATGATTAATGTAATACTTAGGGATCAAAATAGCAATTATCATACGATATCGATTTTGGGGTGGGGGTATGCTTTGTGTCCTAACCCTTTTTATGCATGCGATTTGGTATTATTGATAAGATTTGCACAATTTCAATTTCAACAGTCTATTTTTTCTTCTCCAATTCTCATTAATACAATGATACATTTTCTCATGAGGTTGATTACATGGATCACTCATGAGCATTTCTCACCAGTGACTTAGTTAAATACCTAATCTAACCAATTCTCATTAGTGAAATAATAAATAAAATAAAATTGTTAATGTATAGGAATTGAAGAAACTCTATTGAGCACATCTCCTATATGATTTCCATTTAGAACTGTTAAAAGCAGCGACCTAGTCCAGCTTGACTTGACCCAGTCCTACAGGTGAAACAAAAAAAATTTGATGGTCCAGCTTGACCTATATTTTAAAATGAGCCAAAATGTTTGATCCAGCCTGACTTTATATTAGGCCAACGAGCTAATGGGACGATTTTTGCCCGATTGAATATAAAAAAAATTATTGACATATCTATACAAAATCAATTAATTAAAAAAATATTAAAAATAAAAATATATTTTGAAAATTTAAATTTTATTAATGAAATTAACTTTTGTTTAAGATATGATGATTTAATATATAAATTATAAAAGAATGCATCCATTCAATTTCAAAATAAGAATTAAAAACTTCCTCTTTATTATCATTATTTATTTTTAGTAATTTATTAATTTAAAATAGTAACTAATCCTAATCATTACATCTTGGAATAAGTAATTATTAGAGATTTATTCTGATATTTATTCTTAGAATAAGTGAATTCCTATCAAATTAATTTATAATACATATATATATATTTTTTATTAAAATAATATTACTTTTTTTTTTAAATATTATTATTCTATAAAACGGATCGATCTATAAACCTACAGGTTAGTCTGACCTCAGCCCATATAGGCTTGGCCAAAATAAGCTTGATTCAATTTAGGCCACAAATTTTTTTGCCTAGTTTAGCCTATTTCTTGGGTCTTTCAGGCCGGCTTATCGGGTTAAGCTTATTTTGACCCTCCTATTTCCATTCAATGGCTTATTTCAGTGGGCAATTCTTTTTAATGTTTTTAAAAAGAATCAATAGATTAAAGAAATTTTCATTTTAAAATTTAGTAAATAATGCCATTGTTTTTTGTCTATTGTTTTTAATTATTAAGTTGATTTTGTTGCATGCTTCTTCTTAACATCAATCCAACAAGTTTGTTACTTTAGTGGTGTTCTTATGCAATTTCCCCCTCCATTTTGTTACAGGATAGAAGCAAATGGTTTAAGGAAATTGTAAGTTCTTTTTCTCTCTTCTCTTCCATTCCCTTTTGATTGAATTTACTTGTAGGATGTAATGAACTAAAGTATCTATGATTATGCCTGTTTTGGCTGATGATGTTTTTGACCTAGATATAGTGAAATGAAGCTTGAAACATTATGATGATTTATAACATTTTCAGCCTTGGGAAGAAAGAATGAAAACTGCTTACGAGCAAGGAAAACTTTTGCTACTTCAAAACTTGGATCCATCTTTATCTTCAGCAGAGGTACAGGTAATAATCATTCCAAATTTATATATTCTTATGCATTACATGAGAACCTGAATACAAATCCAACATCCCATAAAGGACGGTTTTAGAGTTAATATGTCCAATTCTGTTTTGGAGCAACTTCATTTGTGATATAAATCCATGAATTAGTGTTTACTCGTATTGCTTTCTAAATTGTATTTGATTTGGAATAGAAGATGATCTACTTGCCTGTATGGAAATTCAACTGTGAATTTTGCAGCTTTTAAATTGATGCATTCACTTGACCTTATATATATATATATATATATTTATTGTTTCAGTGTAAACAAATTTTTCCTGTGGCTATTAATTAACATTTTTTTACTACTCTTATGTTGGTTCTTATTGTGATTGTTTCCTTTTTTTTTTTGTATAAAATAAAGAAACGAAAACTAATCATACATGCTAAGTGTCATGATTACAGTGGAAGACTTCGTACTTTTCAGGTGTTTAATATTTTTCCATCAACAATTTTGCTGCGTTTTGTTGTTGCAATGTAACAATTGCTATTAACTACAACAATCACATAGTTATCAAGTTGCTGGTGCTGTATAAATTGGTATAGATTGATTCCTAGTTGGGATGTGAGGATAGGGAGATCGTAGGAAGAGGAAAATGGTAAGGGAGAGAATCTTTTGTTTAAAAAAGCTTTGCCAGACATTGTCATGCGTCATAAAAGTTTTTGTGAGCTTCTTGTTAGAGATGTTTTGTTTTGTTTGCTTTGTTTGGTGGTATATTGGGCGTTTGGGATGCCAAATCTGTGTTTGAAGAATGACACTTAAAAAACAAACGCTTTTGGGCTGGTTGGATCTTGTGTATGAATGACCCAAAAGAGAAACAAAAAAGTATAAGAATTCTGGGTTAGCGTTGGGTAGGGTCATGGTGCCCTGAGGATTCTTCTTTCTTTCGACTACATTTGTGCAATCTGGGATTGAGATATTGTCCACAAACATTCCCGGTGCAATTCTGCGATAGCCAAAGTGGATGTGATGGACAGCTATGGAAAACCAATTGGCCACCACCTAGTTGTGGTGGCTGTTGACAAAACTGCCACTGCAATCTGGCATGGTGCTGCCATCTCTGATGTTTGATAACACTGTTTAGAAGACCTCATAGTGGTTTTAAGGTTTTAGGAAGCTAAATGATGAATGGAGGTCTATTATAACGGGAATCCTGTAGAGTCTTACTTTTCAACATTAGGGTATGGATCCTTGATATGAGTCATGAATAGAATAGTCACCAGAATACACATCCAAGAATCAAGTGCTGGCAACTTAAGCAAGATAGTCATTTTTCTTTTAAGGAGAAATTATTGGATGAAGGGAATTTCGAATTACAAGTTGGTTCTAAGTTCATTTTGGTCAATATGTCTAAGTTTAGGTGGATTGCTAAATCAATCTTGAGTTAATCAAAAGTTTTTGGGTCTGGGATATAAAAATCTTGTTCGTGGAATGAAATTGTTGGTAATAATGCTACGAATTTGAGCAATATATCAGAATGATGGTGGAAGCAACGATGGGTGAGGCACAACCCAAATCTATTGAAGAGTTTTACACACGCTTGCCAAAAATAGAAAAAGGAAAAAGAATGAAAGCTATGGTGAGTCACGACATAAATCTTTTGTTTTACCAAAATCCGGGGCAAAATGCTCTTTAGAAGTAGATAAAGAATAACAGATTGGTAACAAGTAAGATGTATTCATGATGGATAAGAGGAAGTTTTTGTTACATATTGATTTCACAGAAGATGATGACAGAATTATCTATATTAGTTTTTTAATTACGAACAATAATTGACTTGTAATGTGAAATGACTAGAATTTCAAGAGGATGAACAAAGTTTTACCACCGTAGAGTTCACGTCAAGAGGTAAAAGAAGCCCTCAAGAGAATGGGTAATGGTAAAGTTGTTGACTTGATGGCATTTCTATTGAATTTTGGAAGTGTGTAGTTGAAAAAGGTACCATTTGGATATTTTACGTATTTTTGAAATCTAAGGTAACAGAGAAGTTATTGTGTTAATTTTTTAGGTTTTGGCACCTTGAATTTTCTATTGTCAAATGTTGCCTTTGGAGGTCATTTGGAAGAGTAGTTCACTTGAGTTCTTTTTGTTGTTCTTCTAAAGACTTTGTATAGGGGCTGTCTTTGGTGGATCTTCAAAGAGATTGGTGTTCTTAGTAATTTGTCTCCTTTCATTCTTGGTTTGGTTTGTGACAGTGTTGTCAAATAACTATTATGGCTGTGCCCTGATGGTATTGTGACAGTTTTTCAACAAGGCACCACATGTGTTATGACATGGCTAGCTATGGTGGCTGCCTTGCTGGAAGCAAAATAAATAGCTTTTCATTTTACTATTTTCTGTTTGTCAATTAATGTTTCTATACAGTTATTTTGTTTACCTTAGTATGGTGCCTGTGGCAAAATATGGTTGACACATTGCTCTAAATAACAGAATATTATTTGGACTGGCTTTCAAGAACATTGCACTGCAAAGGTGATCCAGAAAACTGACTACTCTAGCCCTCATTCTGGTTAGAACTAGAATCTTTGTTCATTTTTTAAAGTTTCTTAAACCCACTTCTTCCATTCATGAGCTTGAATACGACAATGGTGTAATATTGGTTTTTTATACAGGTCAAGCTTTTGTTATATTTAAGAAAATGGAAGCAGCAGCGAAGGTTGTTAGAGAATTAGATGAGGGCTGTTTCTTAATGCCAAATGGACTGTATGTACTCGACTCCATATTGCATGATAACTACGCTGGAAAAACATGAACTCAACTCTCACTCCTCCCTCCTCCCCCTCCCCCACTCTATATATTTTTAAATATAATGAAATTTTTTAAACATTAGGGACTTTTAGTTTTAACTTCACTCCTTGTTAGATTTAATGGTCGATACTTTCCCCTCTTTCATTTAAATGGGGTATTCACTCGAGGAGTTATAGCCTTTAGTTGTAAGATTTATAATTGATATTTTTCAACATCTAAATACTTGATCATACTTATGTGCGTGCATTTAATCATAACGTTACCTATTGCTCACCAATGGTTGTAAATCCTCACTTGCACTCTAAAGAGAACCTAACTTTAGTGGAATCAAATGAATGTAGGCATAGCTATCAAACTCGTGAGTTATCACTAACTTAAATGAACACATGGGTAAACCCGGTATCCACAAGTTAACTCATGGGTAAACTAACTTTTGGTGGAAACTTGTGCGGACTCAAGTAGACTCAATCTGACTCGTGAGTCCACCACTGAGTTAGTGAGTTCATGGGTCTTCTTCTTTCTCCCAAAAAGATTTATGTCTTCTTTGCCCTACTTTTTCACTTGACTCCTTCCTTCAACAAATAAGGACCTGCCAATAACACAAATAGGAGAACAACAATGCAACAATAAGAACGGGGGAGCAGGTACACTATAACAAAGGGTTGGTCTCTCTCTTTTTGGATTGCATGAAGAGGGTAGAGCTTCATTGTAGAAAAGTAATTAGAAGATAAGAAGAGAAGAAAATTATGGAAGACGAGAGAAGAGATGTGTAGCAGATTTGTTGTGCGGGGGGGGGAGACAAGTTTGGTTTTAGTGGGGGGAGAATATTGGCTATTTCCCTCCCACTTCACATAAGCTTTTGAAATAACTGTTTCTATGGAAAATCAGGCCACACAACTCGATCAATTTTGGGTGTTACCTGTGTCTGCTCAGGATTTCAGGATCTTCATTTAGATTGCAATTATGCGGATCTTTTGAGATTCGAAGCCACAATTCAAGCACTATTACACGAACAATTTGCATCTTTAGAGTTGTGAATTGTAGGAATCATTTCGCGGGATGATACTAACTATAATATTGAGTATCCCATGATACTAGCCGTGTTTGGGCAGCTACTTTAGATAAAACTACTACAATCCTTTTCAGTAAATAGATCAATTATGTACATGTGAATTTATGCTGCTCACTCTCGTAAAATGTATTGTGAACATCTATCTAGCTTTGGCATGCGAAATGCTTTGAAAAGTCATGCTAACGTCTATAGGATCACTAAAATTTGCAAATTGTTTACAATTTCGAGCAGATGATTGTTTTATGCAAAGATCATTGCTAGACTTGACTCTTGCCTTTTTTTTCCCCACCCACTTTGACTTTTTAGGTTGAGGGAAGGTAGATCGTGTGGGAGAGAAGACTTTCAGTTTTAGAAGCTAGCCTAGAAAGTGTCAAATCCCTTAATATATCCTCACTAATTATCACCAAGTAGGAAATTTTGCGGATTACATGGTGTGTACCATCTCTCAAACAAGAAACTGGTCCACAAGAGGGATTGTGGCTGCTCCAATTACATCATGAAACTGAAATACGACATGCTGTGTTGTAGGCATAATTAACAATGCTATTGATATTAATTTTCTGTTTAAACTTATTTCAAAATATTATTTATAAGATATTTCCCCTACTTGGGTCATTTTTATCACACGAACATCTTTATGTTTAATTTTACTGCTTTTGTGAAGATCTTCATTCATGTTATGGGTCCTATGATGATTTGCGATTTGCATCCCCCCTTCCAATCCCATGTAAAATCTCAATGTTCAGAACATTGGAAAAGAGGGAAACAGTTGTCACTGCACTTGCAATACTGTTACCTTAACAGTAAATGAACTTTGGCTGTTATATACACTAATTACTATGTTGATTAGACACTTAATAGAACTTTATCAGCTTAAATTTTCATGTCAATGAACGAGTTATCAGTGTTTTACTTAAAAAATCATTTAATTTTGTTACTTGTTAGACCTCTTGTTGGAAGCTTTGGAGTTCCTTGCTTTCCAGAAAAGAAGCCAGTATTTTATGGTCATCATGTAGTTGATCAACTTAGAATGATGCAAATGCAACGAGATATGGTACATGATCTATCTTGTTTGTTCATATTTGTGGCCTAATTTTGGAAACGTGGTTATTAGTTGGTTCATTTCCATATATTTGTCTGTATGATTTTGGTTGTACAGAAAGATGCTGTATCTACTTCACATTGTTCTCAACCTAACAATATCGAATATGACATGGCCATAGAGTGGTGCTTATTGCAAGAAAGAGCAAACAAATCATGGAGAATGTTATACCAGGTATCTATAATCTTTTAGTAATGTGCCAAAAATCATTTTCATTTCTGTTTTATTTATTCCATGTTGAATTTTTATCATGTTTTTATTCGTTAAGCAACAAGGCGAGCAGTTGAAAAAACTTAAAGCTAAGCTGAAATCTAAAATTTAACTGACGTCCATTGACCGTATACACATTTTTATTGGTATGTTCTCTTTCTTTCTTGCATCTTCTATTTTGCTTTACAGTGCTGGATTTTTTTTATTAATATCATTTTTTTGCAGCGACTTGTGGTGTCTGGAGCTAATGATTTGTAAGTTTTCAGCTTCTAGTACTGAATTTCTTCCAGTCTCGTCTTTTTCTTGCGAACCGAGTCATTTTGTTGTTTGATTCCTCTTCAGTAAAATCCTCACTTTAATAATTGATCAACGGGGTTGTTTTTGACGTTAAGTTGTGCTAGGCATTTTTTTCTCTTTTTCGGGTAAATAAATATTACAGTGGGTAATTAACAGTACAATTATTATTATTTAAAACTGATCACTATTTTTTTTTTTTGTTCTTAGTTGGGAAAAAAGGATTGACTCACTGAGGCGGTGGTAAGCATTAGACAAATTTTGGTTTAGCAGTTGTAAATACTATTTCTATGGGGTCTGGGAGTTTAAAGGAATCTGAACGTTTATTTCACACTTCATGGCAACTCCCTCCCGGTCTAGCTGTTACTTTGGTTCCCGGTATAAGTTGTTTGGTCTTTTGGTTGTGAAAATGTGAAAAGTTTTGTTATTGCCTTATTTTTTGTTGTTGAGTAGCCCAGTTCAAGGTTCCTGAGTTGGTATACATAGAAAAGCCAGGGGAAATTCGAAGATTCAAACGTATTTAATGAAAGACCATGCTCAGCTAATGCAGTCATCCATGAATTGATCTCTCTGTACACATGATTCCCGGATTTTTGAGCTTGATAAGTGAATATATGTTTTAATTATCTTTTTCAAATCTTATCATTAACAAGCTTGATTTTGAAGATTATTACTATAAGTTGTGTTTTAAAAACTCTGTCCAATCATCCAAAAACACCATTCGATTGGTCTTGTATTTGGTCCATTCCAAATCGGGGCAATTTAAAACTGAACCTGTCTAATTATTGATAAAAAAAACCGCAAATCGACAAAATTGATAAAAATTGTTTATAAATTAATAAATAAATCAGTTAATGAAAATTATTTTTTAGTAAGAGACCTAACAAAAATTTCATGAGTTATTATGATTTTTCCTTTATAAGCAATCCAAATTATTCATTTTTTTATTTTTACATATGTACTAACCCAAGTAAAAAATGGAACACCATGTTAAATTATTAATTAAAAATAATTGTATAGTGTACTATAATTTTAAACATATATTCTATATTATCTATTTTTTGTGCATATTTTTAATGATAAAAAGAAATTAAATTATAAAACTTTAACCAAATATTATATTGTCAAAAATGTATACAATAAGATTTTGTTAATTCAATCGTGAGATTATAATTTTACCTAATTATTGTTTAAATTATGTTTTTTTAAGATAATAAAGTGATTAAATAATATATTTTTAACATTTTAAAAAAGTACATTTTAGTTCATAAATAAAAATCGAAGTCAAGTATATTAGAGATATTTATTTTCTAAAAAAGTTTTCTTTCATGTTACTATATTAGTATATAAGAGAAATCAAAATTTAAATAAAAAAAATCAAAATTTTGATAAAAAAAATTGATGGTTAGTGCAGTTCTCTTCATTATAAGTTTTATTTTTCTTTTTCTTTTAGCATGTTCCCTTCAAGTTTAATGCAACTCTCTTTTATTGCGAAGACTAAATTTATTATTTTATACTTTTTCCCTGAATATTGAATTACACTATTTTGTTCACCTGTATATTACAAGTATTGCGTCGAATAAATACTATTACATCTTAAAAAACACAGTTTTTAAATTGTATATAAAAATAACTAAAAGTAAATTTTTTTAATATAAAAATAATTGATAAAAACCACTTGTTGAAAAATAATTCATCAAGAATATATAATTTGGTGGTGATATAAAAATTATTTAAAATAATATAGATGTCATTTTATCAAAAATATTATGAAAATTAATATTTATTTTTAAATTAAAAGAGACATAAGTATAATAATTTTACGAAAGATAAATAAAAACTTTTAAAATAATTTTTTTATAAATGATAAATTGCTGTATATTCACATTCAAATTTATTTATAATTATATATGTTTTTATAAATTCTGATTCTATTTTAGCTAAAAAGATGGGAGAATTATGTAAAATAAAATTAACATTTAAAAAAGTTACATGTTCACTCACAGACTCACATAAAGAGTGTGTTATTCAGAAGAAAAAAAAAGAAAAGAAAAAAGAAATATGACCGTTGTTTTAAAATTGTGTTGATAGGGACACCTCATAGGGTAATTGAGCGAGTAGAATTATAATTCCGAGTCGCGGCGAATAACCGAACCTGTGTCCTTTCCTCTGTCACTCTGCACACTCACTAGCTACACCCCGCACTCTCTCTGCTTCCTTTCTTTTGCTGGTTCACACCGCACTCTCTTCTGCTTTGCCAACTCTAAGATCTCAAAATCTCATTTTCCGTTACTATAAGACGCCGCCGTTAGGATCCCAAACTCACTCACATCTTTTTTTTTACAACTCACTACATTTTTTCCTCCGACAACAACAAGCTCAGGTTTTTTCGAAATGGGTTGCGCACAGTCCCGAATAGACAACGAGGAATCCGTGTCTCGCTGTAAGGACCGCAAGAACTTGATGAAGGAGGCCGTCATCGCTCGCAATGCCTTTGCCGCCGGCCATTCCGGCTACGCCATCGCACTCAAGAACACCGGCGCCGCCCTCAGTGACTACGCCCACGGCGAGACCCACGACCCTCATCCTCCGCAGCCTCTTGACCCTCCTTCTGCCGCCTCTGAACCTCCGCCGCCACCCCCGCCGCCCATCGACGACTCCCTCCCTCCCCCTCCCCCACCGCTCCCTGAGTTCTCCCCCGTGCCGCTCACGCGCGCTGTCACCATGCCCGCCGGCGCCATGCACCACCGCAGTCCCGTCCCCCTTGCTATAGCCGAGGAGGAGGAGGAAGAAGAAACCCCCAAGCCGGTGAAGAAAACCGCCGGATCCTTGTCGCCAGAGATGAAGACACCCCCTCCGCCGATGCCAGAGTCAAAGGGCATGGCTTGGGATTACTTCTTCATGGTGGATAACATGCCTGGACCTACTCTCAATGCTGAAGACGATAATGATGATAATGGAGACGATGGGGGTAAAATGGAGAATGTGGTTGAAGATGTGGTTGAGCCTAAAACACCAGAGAAAGTGCAGGAACATGTACACGAAAACATCCATGAAGAGCATGATGAGATTAGTGAAGCAAAGAAGCACATTGAGCATTCTAAAACTGCTCCAGCTGAGTTTAGAAGAGCAATAAAGGTGGTTCCTTCTGTTACTCTGATGCAGATTCTCAATGTCCTTGATGATTACTTTTTGAAGGCTTCCGATAGTGCTCAAGAAGTTACCAAGATGCTTGAGGCTACTAGGTTGCATTATCATTCCAATTTTGCAGATAATCGCGGTAGGGTGATTTGTTTCTTTATGCTTTGAAATTGAAGTTTGTTCTATTGCTGGGATTTTTAATTTCATGTGTTGGTGATGTTAACAGGGCACATTGATCATTCTGCTAGGGTTATGCGCGTCATAACTTGGAACAGGTCATTCAAAGGTGTGTCCAACGGGGATGCTGGGAAAGATGATGTTGATTCTGAAGAGTATGAAACTCATGCCACTGTCTTGGATAAGTTGTTGGCCTGGGAAAAGAAACTTTATGAAGAGGTCAAGGTAGGTGTCAATGCTCATGATCTTGTCTACCCTTTTCATTATTATGCTTTTATTTTTTTCATGCTTGAAATCAATGAACTTAAACATACATGACGGTTTGTAGTTAGAGGACAATGTAAACATCCTTTACGCAATCACTGCATGTACTTTCTTCTCATATTTGTATTAATGTTTTGTTATTATGAGTCACAAAACTTCACTCTTTGTCAACAGCAAGGTGAGCTTATGAAGTTTGAGTATCAGAGAAAAGTTGCAATTCTGAACAAGCAAAAGAAGCGTGGTGCCAGCGCTGAATCCTTGGAAAAAACTAAAGCCGCTGTTAGTCATTTGCATACAAGATATATTGTTGACATGCAGTCCATGGATTCAACAGTCTCAGAAGTGAACGATATTCGAGATGCTCAGCTGTATCCGAAACTTGTTGCTCTTGTTATTGAGTAAGTATTGCCGAGACATGTGATGGTATTGGTACTGCCTCAGATGATTATTCTATTTGATATTTTATGGTTTTTAGTTGCTATATTTGAATGAAGAGTCAGTGAAAGAAACCCACATCATTGTGAACTATCAGGGTTGGCAGTGCACTGAACTTCTAGCTTGTTGACAACCTAAATTAGTTTTAAATGTGAAAGAACATGACACAATCAGCGTCCTAGTAATTGATTTTTTAACCTTAGCAAGCCTTTTATGCTGACATTTAGTTCTTGGCAATTTATATGCCAGTTAAATCCTGACATAGTTTGCTAGTTCTCATTTCTCAATGCCTAGACATACTACTAGATCCTAAATTTTGAGTGAGTGTTTTATGTTTTGTTTTTGTCTTGCTAATAATTTTGTTTTATGTTGTGTTTTATCTATTGCTGAAGGTGTACACAAATGAACATTTCAATAATATAAAAAAAATGTCAATTTATTATTGTAAGAATAAGAATGATATGACATGTATGCTTCCCTGGTTTTCAATTTGCTTGATTCTCACTCCAAGTGGATCCAGAATTTTTACTGTATGGCATGTGATTGTTTTATTTTGCTACTACATCCACTGTGTTGTGGATTTTATTCAAATTAAAGAGCTATTTGCACCATTAATCATGAATCCACTTGATTTCTCTTCAGGATGGCAAATATGTGGGAAAATATGTGCACATATCATGACAGCCAGCTGAAAATAGTTACAGACCTCAAATCTCTTGATGTTTCTCAAGCTCCTAAGGAAACAACAAAGCATCATTACGAACGCACTGTGCAACTTTGGAATGTCGTCCAGGAATGGCATTTACAATTTGAGAAGCTTGTGACTCAACAAAAACATTACATCAAAGCTCTTAATAGCTGGCTAAAATTAAATCTCATCCCTATTGAAAGCAACCTAAAAGAGAAAATCTCATCACCCCCAAAGGCCCAGAATCCACCAATCCAAGCCCTTCTCCACGCGTGGCATGATTATGTTGACAAGCTTCCTGATGAGCTTGCCAAATCTGCCATTTCCTCCTTTGCTGCCGTGATAAAGACTATCATACTTCAACAAGAGGAAGAGATGAAGTTAAAGGAGAGGTGTGAGGAATCCAGAAAGGAATACTTAAAGAAAAAACAAGCATTCGAGGAATGGTACCAGAAGCATTTACTGCGGAAGGGGCCTGAGGAAGCAGAACATGAAAGAGGAGAGGAAGTAAACACAAACAATCCTGTCTCGGAGAGGCAGTTTGTTGTTGAGAGCTTGCAGAAGAAATTAGAAGAGGAAATTGAATCTCACCAAAAACATTGTGTTCAGGTGCGAGACAAATCACTACAGAGTTTCAAAACTCGCATGCCTGAACTCTTTCGTGCTCTGTCAGACTATTCTCATGCCTGTTTTGATGCTTATGAGAAACTGAAGTCAATCACACAGTCACGGGGTGGTGGGGCATGAAAAACATGATGTTTTTTGGTTTTTTTTTTTTGTGTGAAGTTTAGTTTATGTATTCGAACCTATGTAGTCTGCTGTTGTCCTCACACAAGAAGGAAGGCATACATATTTTAGCTTCACATGCAGAATTATCAATCTTGTGTGAAAATTTTGTCATAGCTTTATTAAGTTCTAACCATCATTTATTTTATGTAAGCATTTTGCTTGAGTGATTTATTAGCCCCGCAAGTTTATTCAAGTCATTTAGTCCAAATTAAAAAAAAAAAAATTCATATGCTATAACTTGTCACGTTACTGACATCTAACTAAATCATATTTTTTGTATTTGTTTTTGCTATATAAAAGGTGGTAGAATAACTTAAATTTCCCAAAAGATGCTCTCAGCATAGTCCATCATAAATTTATGAAAGGAATACATGCCGTATAAAATAACATTATTTGGAATTTCATCTCGTGATGGTACCATCAGAATACACAAGGTGACAAACGTAAAATGAGGTGTCATGACTAAAATGTGGATAGGTGGGCATGTGATTACATCACTCTTGATAAAACCTAATATTTTTAAGATGACATTTCATAGGATCCGATCCAAGTGAGAACACAGAGGGAGAGTTAGGCAGCTACAATGACTCTTTTGGCTGTTTTATTTTGACACATAGAACCTTATTTTTTTCATCCAATAGTTGTCACATGCGTCTCTTCTAGAATCAAACTGCCTCTTGTCATGGTTGGCGGCAGTGCAGACTTCACCCAACATATTATATTAGAGATAAGATTAACAATACCAATTCTTAAACAAGGGATTTAGCATTAAAAACAGGGTAGTTAGGCTTTGGAAAGCCTCATAGGAAAGGACCAAAAGGGTTTACTGAAAATCCCTATCTTTGGTCCCAATAATAAATCCTTGTATGCGGAAGCTCCTTTACTCTGCGTGTGATATACTTGATGCCTATATAGAAAGTTCCATCTTGATTTACAGCTTTAGTGTGAAGGAAAACTTGGCAATCTCAGCAAATGGATGTGAAGAAGTACTGGTTTGGTTCAAGAAGTAAAAGGACACAAGACATCCGGTTAGGTCGGAGCTACACAAAACCTCGCTACGATGGCACAAAAACAGTGTGGCAGATGCTTTGGAGAAAACTGAAAATATCAGCAGATAAGAAGAGAGTGTTCAGTTCTCCCACTACGATGGAGGGTGTTTATGATCCACAAACATACTCAATGAACTTTGATCATGGAATGGGATGGATGGAGCCAGACAACCTCCCACGTTCCTTCTCAGCTCGGTTTGCTGATCCATCTAGGATCTTACCACCAAAGCATTTGTTGGATTGAGAGTTAACCTCATGCAAAAACAAAACTTAGATGCAGTTCATAATTTATTTTTGGTATTGTTTTTTAATCATAATTGGAGTTTCATATTTGTGTAAAACTGCATCCAAGTTTTGTTTGTACTTAATGCCGCAGCTACCTGTAACTATCCTCTCCAGATCACCACTTCGTAAGCCTCTGGACCACCCCCTCTATGGTCAGAAATGTAAAAAAACATGTATTTTTCTCTTCTTTATTTTAGAGTCCATTTATTTTGGTTCACAGGACTGAATGCTACTCTCCCACTTCCCAGCCCCACCTCTTTGTCTTGAGGTGTTGATATATCAAACCTGTTTTTGGCTTTTGATGCTGTTCCGGATAAAAGCTTGAATCAACTCAGGATGTGTGCATTGTATGTCATCTGTTAGAGAAACAATGATGTATATATAGTTTCATAGAGCATTAAACTTCCATTTTATCTTCTCTCTCGTTTCCTAGGCCTAACTGTTGTTATTTGGATTGACCCTTAATTTTGATCTTAACTTCTGGTTTCTGTGTTTGTTATTCATGTCAATTCAATAATGTTTTGTTGTTGATGGTTGACTTTATTATTGCAATGAAAGGGAAACCACTGCATACCATGAATAAATAAAACTTTCACATCTGAAAGTTTTTGGTTGTGCTTCATATGTTATGTTAGACTCTAATAGTAGAGATAAATTGGACCCTAAGGCAAAACGTTGTTATTTCATTGGTTATGGATCTGACATGTTTGGCTACAGGTTTTGGGATGACCAAAACAAGAAAATTATCAGAAGTAGAAATGTTACTTTTAATGAAAACATGTTCTATAGAGACAGGATTGCAGAATCTGCAAATGTAAATAAACAGCTAGAGCAAGTATCATTAGAAGAAATTTCGGAAAGTGATGTAGTCAACCGAAGGCGTAATATACAAGTAGAGCCTATGTCGAGCTCGAGACGTAACTCGAACAAATAGTAGAGTCAGCAACTCCCGAAATCTTGGTTAGAAGATCTAGCGGAACAATTGTAGCACCACAAAGGTATTCCCCTTCATTGCATTATTTGTTGTTGATCGATGTCTGGTGAGCCGAGCATTTTGTCGAGGCTATGCAGGGAGATGAATCTATTAAGTGGGAGCTAGCAATGGAAGATGAGATAAAGTCCCTTCGAAGAATAAAACATGGTCTTTAACCAAGCTACCGTAAGGAAAGAAAGTTTTGCAAAACAGGTGGGTCTATAGGTTGAAAGAAGAACCAGGTGGCAGCAAAAGATATAAGGCTAGACTCGTAGTGAAAGGGTTCCAACAAAGACAAGGAATTGACTTCACGAAATTTTCTCTCCTGTTGTCAAGATGACTACCATCGAGTTATCTTGAGTATAGTAGCTGCAGAAAATCTTCATTTGGAGCGCTTAGATGTCAAAGCTGCATTCTTACATGGGGATCTTGAAGAGGAAATTTTTATGACACAGCCAAAAGGTTTTGAAGTACAAGGCGGAGAAAATCTTGTATGCAAGCTTCATAAAAGTTTGTACGGATTAAAACAAGCGCCGAGACAATGGTACAAGAAGTTTAATGAGTTTATGAGAAACTCAGGATTTCGCAGATGTGAAGAAGATCACTGTTGTTATGTGAAGAAATATGTTGATAGCTATATCATTCTTGCCTTATATGTTGACGACATGTTGATTGTTGGAGCTAATATGGCGGAAATTGACAAGTTGAAGAAACAATTGTCGGAGAGCCTTGAAATGAAGGATCTTGGTCCAGCCAAGCAAATTCTTGGTATGAGAATCTCCCGAGATAGAGATAAAGGTATTTTGAACTTATCTCAAGAAAAATATATAGAAAAATTGCTTAGCAGATTCAATGTTGGGAATGCTAAAACCAGGAATACACCTTTGGGAACTCACTTAAAGTTTTCAAAGAGGCAATCTTCTCAAACAGAAGAAGAAGAAAGTCACATGTCTAAAGTGTCATATGCATCTGCAGTAGGAAGCTTGATGTATGCTATGGTTTGCACCGGACCGGACATAGCACATGCAAGTGGGAGTTGTGAGCAGATTTCTATCAAATCCCGGAAAGGAACATTGGGAAGGAGTGAAGTGGATATTCGGATATTTGAAAGGCACTTCAAAGATGCATTTGTCTTTCAAGAGAAGTAATCTCATTTTACAGGGGTTTTCCGATGCGGACTTGGGAGGTGATCTTGACGGTAGAAAGAGCACAACAGGTTATATTTTTACATTGGGTGGTACAGCTATCGGTTGGAAGTCTAAACTTCAAGGAAGGGTCTCTCTCTCAACCATCGAAGCGTAGTATGTAGCTATCTCGAAGGCAGCGAAGGAGATGATATGGTTGAAGAACCTTCTAAAAGAATTAGGAAGAGAACAAGATGGTTCTCCGTTGTTTAGTGACGATCAAAGTGCTATTTGTCTTGCTAAAAATCCAATCCTTCATTCCGGATGTAAGCACATTGAATTGAAGTATCATTTTATCGAAACCCGATAAATGATGGAGACTTGAGTTTGTTGAAGATTCCAGGTGCAGAGAATCCCGCCGATATGTTGACCAAGATCGTTACAACAACTAAGTTGAGGCTTTGCATTGCCTCAACTCGGCCTTCGAGCAAATTGATGATGAAGGCACTACACTAGGTGGTAACGTAAATCAAACTCCAAGTGGGAGAATTGTTAGTATTATGGTGCTTGATTTAGTCCCACATCGATTAGGATTGTGAGATGAGGTTCTCTATTTTGTTATATAAGCAACCCTATGTAAAGTTTGAGATACACACAGAAATAAAAATACTTCCTAGTGTAGTCGTGGACGTAGGCATACATATTTTAGCCGAACCACGTTAAAATTCTTGTGTCGTTTATTTTTCTCTCCTTTATTCTTTCCTTTATTATTGTCTTGTTCCTAACAGGTGTTTATGATCCACAAACATACTCAATGAACTTCGATCATGGAATGGGATGGATGGAGCCAGACAACCTCCCACGTTCCTTCTCAGCTCGGTTTGCTGATCCATCTAGGATCTTACCACCAAAGCATTTGTTGGATTGAGAGTTAACCTCATGCAAAAACAAAACTTAGATGCAGTTCATAATTTATTTTTGGTATTGTTTTTTAATCATAATTGGAGTTTCATATTTGTGTAAAACTGCATCCAAGTTTTGTTTGTACTTAATGCCGCAGCTACCTGTAACTATCCTCTCCAGATCACCACTTCGTAAGCCTCTGGACCACCCCCTCTATGGTCAGCAATGTAAAAAAACGTGTATTTTTCTCTTCTTTATTTTAGAGTCCATTTATTTTGGTTCACAGGACTGAATGCTACTCTCCCACTTCCCAGCCCCACCTCTTTGTCTTGAGGTGTTGATATATCAAACCTGTTTTTGGCTTTTGATGCTGTTCCGGATAAAAGCTTGAATCAACTCAGGATGTGTGCATTGTATGTCATCTGTTAGAGAAACAATGATGTATATATAGTTTCATAGAGCATTAAACTTCCATTTTATCTTCTCTCTCGTTTCCTAGTCCTAACTGTTGTTATTTGGATTGCACCATGACCCTTAATTTTGATCTTAACTTCTGGTTTCTGTGTTTGTTATTCATGTCAATTCAATAATGTTTTGTTGTTGATGGTTGACTTTATTATTGCAATGAAAGGGAAACCACTGCATACCATGAATAAATAAAACTCACAAAGCTTGAATGTTTCAACTTTCAAACTTTTGTGCCATACTTCAAAGAAAATCAAGATGCTGACGAAACTCCGGCCTCATAGTTAATACAGAGAAATTGTATTAGTATCTCATGTTTGTATAATTTTGTGATAAACTATTATTTTAATATCTGAAAAGTAAAACGTTACACATTAATTTTTTTTCAAGTTAAAAAAAATGTCAATAAAATTTAATCAAAATATTAAAAAGTTTGACAACAGTGTCAAAAATTATCAGCACTAATATAAATTTAAATTGGTTTTAATATCTTTTGTTAAAAATCGTGGTTTTTTTTAGTCCGTGTCAATGGTTGAATTAACAATAGCATAGGGTGAAGGACTAATAACTGTTGGTTAAAAATAGTCTTAGATGGTGTGTGATTGATTTGTAGTTGGCGTAACTTTCAAAACAAATTAATAGAAAAAGTTTGTCTTGTGTTGTTTTGTGTCAATTTTCAATTTTAATATTTCTTAAGTGAAAACTTTTTTTTTAAACTAATTTATTGTTTTTAAATGAAGCTGTGATGTTACAACTTTTAATTTCTTTTTACATTTTTTTTCTTTTGAGACAAGATTCCGAGTGATTAAATTTTATTTTAAATATTTAATACAATATTTCTAAAATTATATGGCACTATTCATTAAAGCAATATTATGTTATTTAAAATCATAAATTCAAAGATGAATAATTTTTCAATTTGAATTGTACGATCTTACAAAAAGATGTTGGAGAAGGATTGAAAGTTTTGACAAGATAACGGTTTAAAAAGTGGGTGCTATAATTATAACGGACAGTATATATAAACAAGCAGTGAAACACATATCTAATGGGTTTATTTTATAAATCCAACTGTCAAACTATATCTTTCCAATCATAAGTTCGTCACATTTCTTTTAATGATCTTTCTAATATTTTATAAATAAAATATATTAGTTTTTAGAGTTCTCAATACGGTAACTCAGCCTAATTTAATCGAATGGGTTAAATAAAAAATATATCTTATAGGTCATAAATTTTAATTTTGATTTTATCACTTTCATCAATTTTTACATGACTGTATATATATAATTAAAAATATTTAAATAAAAATAAAAATATATTTTTAAAATTTAAATTATATTAATAAAATTAATTTTTATTTAAGATATAAAGATTTAATATATATAAATTATATAAGAACACATTTATTTATTTATTTAATGTGTTAGAAATTTATTTTTATTATTATTAATATTTATTTTTTAGTAATTTATTAATTTAATATAATAATTAATTTTAATTATTAGATTCCAGAATAATTGATTATTAAATACTTATTTTGATATTTAATATTAGAATAATGGTTTAATATTAGAATAGTGGAATTTATTGTGAAATTAACTTATAATGCATATATTTTTTAATAAAATAATTATTTTTATTTAAAAATTGATTATTATTCTATAAAATATGTTAGCTCATAAGTTTACACGTCTATCTTAACTTTAGTCTATGTAAGTCATGGTTTAAATGATGCGAGTCAAAATAGGTCTGATTCAATTTAGACAACAAAATTTTTTATTTAACCTGACCTATTTTTTGAATCTTTCAAGTCGATCAATCAGGTTAAACCTATTTTGATACCCTATTAATTATCGTATAGAAATAAGAATATTTTGATGTTATATCTACGATAATATTATTAGAATATTATGTTTGATGTATTGCCTTTTTTTCAAATTTTAGTCTCGTCATAATTTTATATTTAAAAAATTTGTGAATTAAGAAACGAGGGTCTCTTCGAGACTTAAAGGGTAAAAAATCAAAACTTGAGATTTTAGTCTCTATATCTTGATAACAGATCAATATTGTTAAAGTTTGTTTTGGTACTTCATGAGTCTCATATTACTTAGGAATTGTGGTTAAGTTATATACCTTCATTTTTTTAACCTATCGAGACATCTTTTAAGGACAAAACGGTAACGGATTAGAGTTCCAAAACGAATAATACTTCAGACATGAGAATTAATTATAACAATATTATCATAGTAGAGATGAGGTTTACACACTTTCGTTCTTAGACGGGACATTGGCTTCCACTATGGGGTCAAAACACAGTCTCACTCCAATCATACCTCTTAGTCCTCGACTAGAGAATTATGTTCCGGTACACTCACGAATATCACATCGATTAGGAGTCAAGATAAATGGTAGTTTATATACACAATCCTCTCTTAAATCATTAATAAGTCTTTTAGGGACAAAATCGTGACGAACTAGAGCTCTAAAGTAAATAATGTCTTAGATATTATAATTGACCTTACCAATATTATCATCATTGACATGAGATCGGAATTCCTAGACAAAACATTTTATATTCTAATACACTTATAAGTCTCACGTCGCTTAGGAGTCGAGATCAAAGATAATTTATATCCACCCTCTTTTCTCTACCTACCCGAGACATCTTTTAAAAATAAAATTATGACTGGACTATAATTCCAAAATAAACAATAAATTCATAATAATTTATATAGATTGTCATCTCCTAAGCAACCTGAGATAGAGATATTTTTGTTCTTACACAAAATATTATTAATTATGAAACATTTATTTTTATATATTATTCATATTCAACATATTGACGAATTAGATAATATTTACTATAAAATATTATCATAAAATATTTTATTTGAAATTGAAATAATATTTAATATCTAAACATGTAATACTTTTTAGTTCTTTTTATATTGTATTTTAATATAATATATATAACTGATAATATTTTTAAAAATATTATGTAAAAATATAGTTACTCTTTCTAGTTTGTGATTTTAGAGGATTATTAAAGTGGGAAAGGACACAAGAAAAAATGTGATTGAAGAGGGGAAATTACTCTTTATAATTTGTGATATTAGAGCTTTTCAGGGAAAAAAAAAACAATATAATTAGTGATTTGATTTGCGATACTTGATTAACACCGAAAGTTGAGAGTAGAGGGTACAGCCTATAGAAAAACAAAATAGAAGTGCTTTAAATTGAATTGAGCATATAACAGATACAATGTTTCAGAAACTCGTTGACACGGGAAGTTCCGATAAACAAAGCAATATAAATTTTTCTAAAACCTTTTCAATTTTATTAAGATAGGGTTGGTGCACGCTGATATCCACGTCAGAGATTCATTTTTTTTATACTTGCAGCGAAACATGATTTGACAAGTTCCACTAACACTTGGACAACTGTGTTTTTTAAGATTCACCTTTTACAATTTATTCAAATAGGATGAATTAATAAATGTAGAAGTTGTAAATAAACAAATTAAAAAATTTAAAAATCAAGAAAAATTACTTCTTATTAAGATGAGAGAAAGAGAAAAAAAAAAACTGTGTTAGATACTTTTTATACTCTTTATAGTTTAAATTTTGCTCAAAATCAATGTTTAGTAATATTATTTTTCTTTACTTAAAAAAATGTTATTTTTAACACATGTAAAATATATAATAGAAAAAAATATTGAATTAAATATTTTATTTTATTTTCTAATTAAAGCTTGTCTTTTTGTAATGCCTAAAATGAATCCTTAAAGTTGTGTTAACATTTTCCATTATTCTGTAATGATTATTGGTATATAAATCTGTTTACTAATTACAAAATTCTTTTATGATTTTTTTTTTTTATAAAAGTTTATGTGTATTTCTCGATTATCTTTCATGTTAATAATGTGGTTCAAGCATTATCGGTTTTAACTTGGTTTGTAGGAAGCTAGTACTTGTTCGTTTGCACACTATCGTCAGCAAAAAAAGATTATACAATGCTGGGCCCCCATTATCTGGTTTGGATATAACCACTTCTTGTATAGACCAAGGCCCATATTTAGAGCAAGAAAATTGATATAATCCATTCGGCTTGTTCTTTCACTCCAGTAATATTTTTTTCATCTCCTTACTATATGTAAAATATTAAAATATTTTTGAAGTCAGTTTTTTTCTTCCGCAATACACATTCATTTTAGTATTTGCACCTCTTGGTTCTTCATTTTGTTGGTTATTTATGTTTTAAATAATATAACATAATTTATATTTTTTAGATTGTATTTTTTTAAAATATTTTAGATTTAATAATCTAGAATTCATTTTCAAAATGTATTTTTTGAAAAAAAAATAGATTGATCTTTTTGAAAGTTTTATGTTTCTAGAATATTTTCGAAAAGTTGGTTGTAGAACATTTTCAAAAAGTTTTCAAAAATTCAATCCAAAAAGTTAAAAACAATTCTGATTCCGAAATCTATTTACATTGAGATAATATTATCATTTTAAATGAAAATAAGGTGTAAAAATAAAATATAAGAATGAAGAAAGAAAGTATGGGTGCACGAAGAAGCCTTTGGCTTTTACGACTATTTTGGAGTATAGTTATAGGTGGGTGTTTGTTAAAGATGCACTTATTTTATTTTATTTGTCAATTACAACAGTATCCCTTGAGCTTAATTAAAATAATGTTCTCTACTCTTTTCTCTATTGTTTTAACCCACAGCGACATTAACTTTTTTATGGGTAGTGTGGACATTCTTCACCAAAAAACTACACAGCAGATATCATTTTACCTAATCTTATGTTATACGTGATACATGTGTTACACTATACTATCCAATTCTTATAATCAAACACTACAAATCATCTTATTGATAATAGAACTATCTTCATAGTCAAATAAATAAAGTACAATTCTCTTAATTTACTTATGTAAATACTTTTAATATTTTAAAAAAAATTGTAGTTTTTTTTTTTTAATCTACTTTGTGAAATATATCTTTCTTCTTACTTTTGATCTTAACTATTAAAGTCATTTCTGCCTATATGTTGGTATTTCCAGACATACTCTCTTTAGAAGGACTTCATTTGAAAGACCAAAGTATTAAAATTAGTCTAACTACCAGGTGTGATTCATTAGAACAAAAAATAAAAAATAAAAATTGTGAACTATAATACTAACTAAAAAAAATGAATTATAATTGCAACACAAACATAGTTCCGTACTTTAGACACAAAGTACTTATTTTGTTAATCCAAACTGTTCCGGATTGGTAACAGTTTTTCCTAACTTTCCAATTAATGAGGTTTGCGTTTGGCAGAAGAAAAGATGAAATATATATAATACAACTTTAATGTAATCTAATCAGTGAAAATCTGATATGATATGGTGTAAAGAAAAAATACTAGAAGTTTTTACACGGGTGTTGCTTCTGGGCTGCATCTTTACCTGGTGTGTGAAGGTTCTGATCCTTTTGCTCAACTCCAGCCACAAGGAAATATGCAGTGTGCCTGAAAAAGTAAGGTTGTTATGGACATCAGTTGTTTTTAGGTGAAGAGGTAACTGGGAAAGAAAATAAACCTGAAAAAGTTCATGAGTTTTATCTTTGAATCATCATCTATGTCTGAGGTACTGTCCAATGCTTGCCCCATATGAAATAACCACCTCTCTGCAGCTTCACGCGTCACAGGAAATGGTCGATGTCGAGCAATTAGAGCAGGGTGCCCTGCAATTTATAGACTTCAGAGGTTTAAACTGCACCTGCTTGGTGTTTCTATAAGAAGCCATTTCTCTTTTTCGTAAAACAAAATAGCCATATCTCCTGAATATCATGATCTTTTTTGTCCAAGGTTTTTATTTGTTTTCTATAAACAGACCTTTAACTGTTAATTATGCAATTAATAGGAGGGATAGAAGAACCAGATCATAGGATGTAAGAATAATTTATGAAGTTTCTTAGTTAACCTTTAATCACTATATTACTCTAGTAGCTTCTTTCCAAATTAATTCAGGAAGTTTTTTGGTTGACAGTGTTTTTCAACTAATAAAGTGAATTATATAAAATAAGAAACAAAAATAGATTTTTTATATATTATAGATTCACACAATTTCATTATATATATATATATATATATATATATATATATATATATATATATATATATATATATATATATATATATCCTACATATTTCTGAATAATTGTATGTACTATCAAAAAATACATATCAATAGTATATGATGAACAAACGGGGAAAGAAAATTGACCTCTTCTTTGAGAATAAAGAGGAGGACCTCCCATTCTCTGGACGAGGAACTCATACTGGTTCTGAATTGCCTTTTCCTTGTCCGAGTTCCCGAAAATTGAACGAAACCATTCTTCATCGTCATCATACACCCTCAACATCGGAAAAATCCCCGAATCAATACACTCAAATCAATTATCAACAATTACAACAATAATAAAGAAGTAGGAGTTGACCTGTTGTAGAAATTGGTAGAGAGTGTAGTGAAGGTTTGAAGACCTAGGGTGTGAAACAAATCGGCATTGTCGATAGCAAAAGCATCATCTATGGAAACTCCGCTCCACTCAGAGGCCTTCTTCTGCAGACTCTGCATCGCGAATGGAACCAGAAGCTGTGAACCTGTGGCTTTCGATTGTGCCGTGAGGGTAATATATATAACATTTATATCACATCATTCATTCCATCGTTTTCATTCTCCATAGTTAATTACAATTTACAATAACAAAAACGGTGTGCGGACACAGGAACTCTTTTTTTTTTTTTTTAATTAATCATTTGAGCAAAATTTTAAATACAAATTAAGTTTAGTTTTATTTTTAGTTTCTATTTAAAAAAAACATTTTATTTTTTACTCTTAAAATATATATTTTTAGTCTCTGAGTAACAAAATTAAAAGATTAAAATTATTTTAACTCTTTAAAACAGTAAATTAATAAATTTGAAATATTAGAACCATACTTTTTTTATAATTTGAGATGATTATTTTTTTTAACATTGAGGATTAGATTCATCCTAAATTTTAAAGATTAAAAATTATAATTAAGCCTTTAGATTAAAAATAAAATTTGATGATTATATATTCTCAATATTTTTTCCACAATTAATTAATCAAATAGTAATATTTGTATAATATTTTGAATAATTATTAACTAAATCAATAAACTTAACAATTTACAATGGAAGGAGTTAAATAAATATTGTTTTCATGATTTTATTTTAAAAGTCAAATTGCACATTCTTAAACTAGAGGGAAATTGGAATTTGTACGGAATGTAGTAAATAAATTTGAACAAACCTTATATCACTAAACTGAGTAACCAACATGGAAAATTATATTGCTACATTTTTTGTGTGATATGTAATATTTCAAAGTTAAATAAAATAACATTGTACTTAATTGATTATATAATATTTTTTCATTATTTTAATGTATTAAAAAACTTCTTTAATCATTCTTAAGATATTAACATACTTATAAATTATTTTTAGCCACAAATTTGTAGTTTAAATAAAATCATAAAATTATACCTTTTTTATTTTAATTGTCATTATCAATAAAATGTTTTTAATTTTTTTCTTTTATATATTTATAAATCCGTGTAATTCGTACTAGTTTTGATTAAAAAAATGTAATACTTACTGAGTGGCTTATACACAAAACTTCAAACATATATTATTTTAGTGTTGTGATTGATTTACCTTAAAAAATTATGGAATTTACTAAGAAGCAAAAAGTTTACTTAAATTTGTTTTAAAATAAAAATATTATTTTTTTATATATTTTGTGTACATATATTAGCATGCAAGGCATGGTTACAAACGCTAGTGTTTTAATTTTAGAACCACAAGGTATTTTAATTTTTAAATAAAATGATTTATTTTCTTAAAACTTATCTAAATCATGTAGCAAATGGTTACATTACTGTCGCAAGATGTGAGATCCTCAGGCAAATTTAATTACAACCTTTTCTCACATAATTTCAGATTGCTTTGTTCTATGATTCGAAGGATATATTTATCATCTTGCCTGAACTCGTTATTAGCTTTAGGAAATAAAATAAAACTTTAAAAAATATGAAAATAAATAATTTCATCTTATACCGCAAATTAAGGGGGAATGAAGGTACATTTTTAAAAATAATTTTTTAAACATATCTAATTCATTCTAAACTTTTAATCAATTCAAACATAAACCAAAACTGGCTTAAAAAACTCTTGGAAGTACGAATATTTTGAAAAGGATGCTGTTACCATGCAAAAAAAAGTTTTATATGTATAGAGTAGCAGTATATCTTCAATAATCTTTGATAAAGTTGTACATTCATTAAAAAAATACATCTACATTTTATTTTATTACTAAAAATAAAAAAAAAAACAGGGATGAATTATTTGAATAAATAGCAATAGTTATTTATGTTCAATTATAATGACAGGCTAAATTGGAAAAATTACTCAAATTATTGGAAGATGAAAATAAATAGTGCTTTAATTGTAAAGGTTTATAAGGATATTTAGTATTAGTTTGGTATTAAAGCAGTACAGTATAATAGAAATTCTCACAACAAAAGGTCTAAAATTTGGAAACCTAAACTGTCAAAAAGAGGAAAAACAGAAGAGCATGAAGCATCTTATGCAAACTAAAAATAATATTATTGACAAAAATTAATGACGAGAATACGACAGAGACATTACAGAGTTCAGTTATGGTTCCCATGCATAATGAATACAAACAAGAGGATATATATATATATATATATATATATATATATATATATATATATATATATATATATATATATATATATATATAGCATTGCATCTGATATAAAATAGTAAAAACCAGTGCAATATAACTTACTGAAATGTTATAAGCGTTAACTGTTTTCCCTTTTCACACAAACAGATTGAATATAAAACTATTTGAATGACTCTTAGATACCAAATTTTTATCAAGACTCTTATATTATACCTAGTTGCCACCACCTACTCCAACCCCAAATCCAGCTCCACCGCCACCACCGCCACCCCCTCCACCGCCACCCCCTCCACCAAATCCACCGCCGAATCCTCCCCCTACTCCTCCTCCTATTCCTCCTCCTCCACCTACTCCACCTCCTCCACCTACACCACCTCCAACCCCACCACCACCGCCAAATCCACCTCCTCCGCCTGCACCACCGCCTCCCCCTAAACCACCACCGGCTCCCCCTCCTGCTCCTCCTCCAAGTCCACCCCCACCACCCGTTCCCCCTCCTAAACCAACACCACCACCATGACCAAGTCCACCACCTCCTAAACCACCGCCACCACCGACACCGTGACCAAGCCCACCGCCTCCTCCTAAACCACCGCCACCTCCTGCTCCGCCACCGATACCGTGACCAAGCCCACCGCCTCCTCCTAAACCACCGCCACCTCCGGCTCCGCCACCGATACCGTGACCAAGCCCACCTCCTCCTCCTAAACCACCACCACCACCGGCTCCGCCACCGACACCGTGACCAAGCCCACCTCCTCCTCCTAAACCACCACCACCACCGGCTCCGCCACCGATACCGTGACCAAGCCCACCTCCACCTCCTATACCACCACCAACACCGTGACCTATCCCACCTCCGCCTCCTACACCACCACCGGCTCCACCTCCAATGCCACCACCAGCACCATGACCTATCCCACCTCCCAAACCACCACCGGATCCACCGCCAATCCCTCCACCACCACCAAGACCACCTCCCCCTCCACCTCCAAGGCCTCCTCCACCACCAAGGCCACCTCCACCTCCACCTCCTAAACCGGAACCACCTCCAAGGCCTCCACCACCACCAGCACCCCCACCAAAGCCACCACCAGCACCTCCTCCAAGACCCCCACCACCACCAATGCCACCTCCAAAGCCACCACCTAGGCCTCCTCCTACACCACCACCACCACCAAAACCAATTCCACCACGCTTAAACCCTCTCTTGATAATCCCAGGCCCCAACAAATGTGGTGGATGAATCAAATGCTTGTCATCCTTAACACTACCCACCTCCCCCACTACCAACGAGCCACTCGCAAGTACAATGCAGAAGGCAAACACAACCACAATGCCATCTGAAACAACTTTCATTGTAAGTTAAAGAGGGAGAAGAGATGGAGAACGTGAATTGGAGCAATGAAGGAGTGAGATTATATATAGTGAAAGAGTATGCATAGGAAGAAGGTTCACTTCACTCAAATTACTCAACTGTCACTTGTGAAGAAGTAAATGAGCCTCACCTATCCTCAGATCAGAGATTTAAGTCCTCAACTGTCCTCCTCTCAAACGCGCTCTGAAATCAGGTCACTGTTTCAATATTACATACCACGCCAGGGTTTTGACCACTTGGCTCCTGCTTTTTATTTTCCCTATTATTCCATTTCCACTCCACTCTCTCGCTGTCCCATGCTAATGCCTCTGCATTATTGGGGCTTATCATATTCATTCAGCTTTTCTGGCCTCCATTAATGCCTCTCTCTCCTTCACATTAATGCCCCAACCAAACAGCGTCCTCTCTTCAGTACACTCTTCTTCACGCTACTCTCTCTCTCTCTCTAGCCATGGGACAATATCCACTTCAAAATATACAAAAATAGGTCTACATATTTTTGCATTGCATGCATCATCATAATCAATCAACCATCCAAATTACCTATATCTTTACAACATTACTGCTTATTCCCTCACTTACTACTCGTCTATAGTTCTATGTTATTTCAATAGTCATATTCTCCTCTTTATCATTTTAGTTTTCAGTTTTCAAATATTCTCTATTTCAAACTATTTATCACGTTAAAATATTAAAAAACTGTTGACTGTTCTAATAACTTAACTGTATAATATATAATCAGTTATTTGTAACACAGAGGTGTTATTATGAGAAAGTATAATGTAGCATGACTTAATTATAAACTACCTACCATTATTATAATTTTAATGAATTTTACAATAATATTTCTCCCTCCATTTCAAAATCAAAATTTAGATTGTGTGCATTTTTTTTTCTGCATGCGAAATCAGAAGTAGCATTCTTGTATTTAAAATAGTTCATCAGCATAATAAACTTTAATAAGGTGATTTTATTTAATATTTTATCTTCACACACAGATGATATACACTGTTGCGTGCATGAGCCATCTTCATGCACCATTCTTAGACAATAATAGTTTTCAGACATTCATTTTTTTAACACTATCAACACTTATTCTATTCTTTCTATCTCTCATTTTATTTCTTGGTATAATCTCTAGTACTTTTACATCTATACATATATTTCTCTCTCACCATGTGTGTTGAATAGAGTCTGAAATGTCTAAAAGTATTTTTACTTATTATATTATTTTAACAGAATATGTGAGAGTCAATGTGGTACCCCCTCAAAAGTCACCTCCAACTCCGGCACCGCTAACCCCATCGTCACCGCCATGACCAACGCCAACGTCGCTAGCAGTTTCACAGTTGCCACCATTACCGCAGCCACTACCAGAAGACCGGCCAGTACCACCCCCGCCTCCACCACCGCCGCCACCACCACCATTAGACCCTCCACCTCCGCCGCCTCCACCACCGCCTCCACCATTATTACAACCATTATTACAGCCGCTACCACTATTACAACCATTATTACAACCGGAACCATAATTACAACCATGACAATTGCCACCATTATTACTGCCACCTCCACCACCACCACCACCACCGCCGCCGCCACCATTAGATCCGCCACCACCACCACCGCCTCCGCCGCCACCGCCACCAGTAACACTCCCTGATTTTAAAGCATCGAAGCCATTCGCAGCATCCTTAGAGGCTTTCTCGGTATTCCAAGGCCCCAACAAATGTCGTGGTAGTGGATGAATCAAAGTGTGTTCGTCCTTGACTTTTGCTTCATCTCCCTCTTCCAAAGAACTGGTGGCAAGTACAATGCAGAAAGCAAAAACGATCGAAAGAAGTTTCATTGCGAGATGGGTGAGGAAGGAGGAAGAGAAAAAGAAATGTGTAAAATAGTGAATAGGTATTGGTGCAATGCAAGCAAGGAAAGAGTGTGTATATATATATATACAGAAATGCTAGCAGTTAATTATAGAAAGATTCACTTCACTCCGATCACTCAACCACCACTTGTGAATGAGTAAATGACGCTCAGATGTCGTTGCATGACTGATTTGATTAGTCCCCAACTTTCCTCCCTTTCAAAGCAGGTTTTGAGCACATTTAGGTCCTGTTTTGAACACTGTTTCACCATTTTATCACAACCATCCATAACTATATTGATGGCAGATTTTCTTTCACAATTGTTAGTTACAATGCTTGTGTAGGTTTTTACTCGTTTTAAACTAGAAGAGTCATTATATACGTAAAGTTGTGCTTTATGGTGTTTGCCTGATCTTTACTAATGGCTCTCTCTGATAATGCAGCAACCAAACAGCGTCCTCTTTAGAGTAATCTTCTGCACACAACTCTCTCTCTCTCTCCATGTAGAAAGAGGTATTTATATTTGCACTATGATATTTCATGAACCAAGTTCAGGTCACATCGGATTGGTACATTGAAGCGGATTTTGTTACCAAGTTATTTTACTGACAGCTCGGTAGTATCTGTAGTTAAATCTATTTTGTACGCTGCAAATTAACTATCTTCGTATCTATATAGGCAAAAATACCGATTTGGTGTAATTTACGTTTTAATCTATTGCAATTAATTATTTTTTACAAAAAAATATTTATAAAACTCGTGTTACGAACTTCTTTATAGAAATAGTCATATCATGTACATTTTGGTTTTATATTTATATATTTTCCATTGAAGTCGTCTGTTATAAAATAATTTTTTCACTTTTTAAAATGAAATTTGTGCTATCACGATTTTTAAATCTTTTTTTGTTATTTAAATTAGAAAGTTGTGTAACTTTGTTTTATACTATTTTGATGCGGTGCATACCTTTGTGACTTGAAGGTGTGCAAACTGTAGTGATTCATATTCATTGCACCGGGCTATATTATAAATATAATTAGAAAAATATGCATTAACAACTTCCACTCTAAATACAAGGTGGTTATATTTAGATGTCAATGAACCTGGAACTTTCCGCTATTTTCTTTATTATTGTTTTCTAGATAGTGTGAATCTTTGCAAAAAATTTGACAGTCACATGAACTATGTTTTTAACGTAATATTACGAACCATATCAGGATGAAAAAGGTATGTTGTAAAAGAGAGAAAAATAAAAAGAATAAAAAAAAATACCTTTTTATTATTATTTTCTCTTGAAGGGAAGTTGTATATTAAAAACATCGATGATATAGAGAAATATTTCGCATAAGAGAAATGAAAAAAAAAAAAGTTATATCATGATAAACGAGGAAGGAAATGATAAAATACAATAGAGGAGAAGAATGAAAAAAAAATTGAAAATATGAACACAAAATAATACAGGAAGATTAAAGAAAATAGTTGCTAAAAAATTTAAGATAATTATAAAAAACCTATCGTTCAAACAATTATTATTAAAACATACATGAAGGTTATTTTAAATTTTATAATATATTTACACGAATATATATATATATATATATATATATATATATATATATATTCTCAGTAAAAGATTAATTTTAAAATTTTCATCTCATTTCTTTTAACAGTAATTTATAATTAACCACTTATTGAAAAACATTGTTTATTTATTTATTTTATTTTATGTATTCATAATTTGTTCATATAATAATTGTTTTTTTTTTACTTCTTTTTATTTTATTTTTCTTTCTTAACATTTTTGTTTATCATATATTTTCACATAATATTATTATATTATTAACTAGGTGTTGAATTACTGGCAAACGTACCAAATTATCAATCGCAGATATAGTATTTCGATTAAATAAAAATCAATCTCACGAGTAACAGTTTCAATGGAAATTCCCAATTATGCTTATTAAGTAGATTAAAACAGATTAGGTTTTGCAAATAAGAGTTGAATTGAAATTAAATGACAAAGACTTGTAAATTGTTGAGAAAGTATCAATTAAAGGTACTTAGGATTGACTTCCTTTTTATCCCTCTTTTGTAATGGTTAAATCAATTAAGAACGTCAATTAACCTAACAATGTTGATGTCACCTACTCAAATCATCCATGTTGATTCCTCAAACATGAAATTCATAAGAAAACCTAATAAATGTTGATTCCTCACACAATTAAGAGATTTTCCAGCATTAGGGTTAGGGTGTTTAAGCACTTGATACATTCATTCCATTCCTGACAATTAACGTAACAAATATTCTTACCGTGATCTAGGGTTCAAGATATATTTTCCAATCATACCTCAAACAATCAAGAATAAATCATTCCAAAGCATAAAGGATAAGAATAACAACATCAAAGCATAAATTAATATATCAAAATATCACCATGATACAAAAGAGTTCAAAGAAAGTGCACCGAATCCTAAGAGAATGAAGTTAGTCACTCATGTTGGTCATTACAATGCTTCAATTGATGAAGAAGAATTGATGAAGATTGGACAAAACCGTAACAGTAGTCGTGTCTCCTCCTCTCCAAGACTGTTTGTTTTTCTCAAAACACAACTTATCTTTTTATAAGAGAATTTGGGTCGGGCCTTGCATCATTCATTCGCTTAAGCGATCTTCTTTCTTTCAATTTTACTCCAATTATGCTTCTTATTCTTGTATCAAGGTATTCTCAAATTCATCTTATATTGGAAGAAAAATATATTAGAATTAACATAAGTTAAGTGGTTTTATAACAATTCAAGGCATAATTATATCAACTTTTTACCACTTAACACTAGGTTAATTTTCTTCTTCTCTTTTCTTCTATTCTTTTTCTCTCATCTCTCAAATTTCTTTTTCCAAATCATAGTTGAAAATTTCTCTCTAAGCCATTCTACTCGCTCAAACAGTCAATCACAAGAGAAACTCCATCAAATGAGAACATCATCAAAATGATGTTACTAAAGTGAATAAGATTCTCATTTATTAACATATTTTCACTTATTATTAAAATAACATATTTTCATTTACTATTAAAAAAATTATTAAACAAGTAAAATATAATTAAATATTTAAAATTAACTTAATTTTTATATAAAAGATAATTTGTATATATATGTTAAATTAATTTAACTATAGCTTTATTGTAAAATCCAATTATAAAACTACCATTATAATTTTATTGAATTTTTCAATAATATTACTTCATATAGCGTATGTCACTGCATAAAGTTTATTTTTCTCATTTTATTTATCAACAATTAACTTATAATATATAATTTCAATTTTTTGTTGTTTTCTCTCTTTAATTTTATAACCAAACATAAAAAAGAGTGAGATAGGGTTACTGGAATGATAAATAATGATAATAATAAAAGATATGTACATATTTCTTACCTATGGGATATATATATATATATATATATATATATATATATATATATATGTATTTAAAAAATGAGATAAAAAAATATATAAGGTTGTGATAAAATGTATGGCCGAATTTGTTTTTCATATTTCAATAAAAATTTAATAGATATAAATTTTCCCGTATTTTTGTATAACAATGGTCATTTTATGTCATATTATTTAATTTGTCTTTTCTCTTATGTACCAATTAATCGAGCTCTACAAAAATAATTTCTCAAAGTTAATCTACTCCATACTCGTGTTTCTGTTTTCATATAAAGAATCTCACGTCTCTTCTCGTAACTATCATTTCTCACTAAACAATGATTTAGTGTGTTTTATTCGTTCTGCATGGGATATCAGAAGTTGCATTCCGGTATTGATTAAAATAGTTCAACAGATGTGCACGTAACTAAAATACGCAATTTATTCAATTTATTTATTCTATAATATTCTATCTTCACACACAGATGATATAGACTGGTGCCTTTCCTGCATCACCCACGTTCATGCACCATTCTTATACAATATTAATACTTTTTAGACATTCATTTTTTAACACTATCAACACTTATTTTATTCTTTCTGTCTCTCGTTTTATTTCTTCATATAATCTCTCCTACTTTTATTATATGTATAAATATATATTTCTCTCTCACCATGTGTGTTGAATAGAGTCTGAAATGTCTAAAAATGTTTTTCCTTGTACAACATTGTCAATGTGGTGCCCCGTCAACGTCAACGTCACCTCCGCCTCCTCCGCCACCGCCACCGCCACCGCCACCGCCACCGCCACCACCACCACCGCCACTGCCGGTATTTCTACCATTATTACAGCCGGCACCATTATTACACCTACCACCATTATTTCCGTCACCACCACCACCGCCGCCTCCACCACCGCCGGTACAGCCGGAACCAGTGTTACAACCATTATTACAGCCGGAACCAGTGTTACAACCATTGTTACAGCCGGAACCAGTGTTACAACCATTATTACAGCCGGAACCAGTATTACAACCATTGTTACAGCCAGAACCAGTATTACAACTATTATTACAGTTGGCACCATTATTTCCGCCACCTCCACCACCACCACCACCACCGCCGCCACCGCCACCAGTAACAATCCCTGTTTTTAAAGCATCGAAACGATCCGCAGCATCCTTAGAGCCTTTCTTGGTATTCGAAGGCCCCAACAAATGTTGTGGTAGTGGATGAATGAAAGTGTGTTCATCCTTGACTTTTGCTTCATCTCCCTCTTCCAAAGAACTGGTGGCGAGTACAATGCAGAAAGCAAACACGATCGAGAGAAGTTTCATTCGGAGATGGGTGAGGAAGGAGGAAGAGAAAAATAAATGTGTAAAATGGTGAAAGGTATTGGTGCAATGCAAGGAAGGAGAGAGTGTATATATACAGAAATGCTAGCAGTTAATTATAGAAATATTCACTTCACTCCAATCACTCAACCACCACTCCTGAATGATTAAATGACGCTCAGATGTCTTTGCATGACTGATTTGATTAACTCCCCAACTTTCCTCTTCTCTCCAAGATGCATAGAAAGCAGGTTTTGAACACTTGGCTTATTTTGAACACTGTTTTACCATTTTATCACAAGATCATCTATAACTGTACTGATAGCAGATTTTCCTACACAGTGGTTTGTTGCAATGCTTTTGTAGTTTTATACATAGAAGAGTCATTATAAACGTAAAGTTGTGCGTTGACGGAGTTTGCGTGATCTTTACTAATGGCTCTATCTGATAATGCAGCAACCAAAACAGCGTACTCTTTAGAGTAATCTTCTGCACACAATTCTCTCTCTCTCTCCATGTAGAAAGAGGTATATTTATTTGCACAATGATATTTCACGATCCAAGTTCACGTCACATCGAATTGGTACATTGAAGTGGTTTCTGTTACCAAGTTATTTTACTGACAGTTCGGGAGTTTGCGTAGATAATTTGTATTTTATCTCTCCCTCTCTCTCTATATATATATATCAAGTCATTACTAAAGGTGGATGTTCTATCCATGCTTCCTGTTAGGCTTATATTTTTTACTCCAATGATTCTTTCACCTTCACTTGCAGCAAATTTGCATCATTTGATTTGTTCCTGCAAGTGTCCTAGTCGTTTTATGGGCTCTTGCTATACTGAACTTTTTGCTACATTTCATAAGGAGAATTTAAATATTTTTGCAATTATGAAATTTTCTTTCAAGGTTACTTCTCTTGTTATTTTCAACTACCATCCTACATGCAAGCTTTAGAACACCAAACCTAAAAATTTATCTAATTATAGTAAAGAATTTTGTACAATAAAGACACAATTATAGTGAGCTGTACCTTAAAAAAACTTGAATGTATATGTTTTTTTCTTAGCATCAGGAGATGTTAATATGCTTAATGTTTTTTTTTGTTATTTAAAAAACTTGTAAAATACAATTATTATTAAAGTGATTGAGAAACAGTTTTTGTATTATCGATGTAAGGTTACATATTTTTTATTATCATATAATCTTAAACATGATAAGTAAATGTCATATTGTTAGACATATGCAAAAAATCCTTATACCAGTGATACTTCATCTACAAATTCAAATAATTAGGTATACAACTACACTAGTTCACAATAAAAGGGATCAACTAGTTTTAAATAAACCTACAAAATATTTAGATATAGTTGTAAAATTTGTCGATGCAAACAATAAATAATATATATTACTATATTATCTTCTAATGTGTTATTATTTATACTAATTCACATATATTATCATTTAACATCATTTATAGTTTTATAACTTATTTCATTTATACAAAAATTTTAAGAAAAAAAACACATCATCAATATTAACATAACATCAAATTTTTTTACAATAAATGTTTAATTTTATCTAGTTATTTAAATTAAATAATCACATATTCATATATATATATATATATATATATATATATATATATAAATTAAATGAATAACACATAGTTATTATTATTTTTTTAAAAGCACCCTGACCTAAAGCCATTATCAATTATAATTTGATATAATTTAAACCGTGCTTTGTATCATAAATTCATTAAAAAAAATAATAAACATAATTAAATATGTGCTGGATATATATGGTTACAGAGTTGAAAATATGTTACGATTACAATTAATTTAAATAAAGACATCAAATGAAAGTAAAAAAAGATATTTGTCTAATTTATAAGAATTTATATTAATATTCCATTTGTAATTGATACATAAATATATTTATCTTACATGTAATGAAAAAGAAGTGAATTTGAGATCAATTCAGATTATATGAAAAGCACCACTAGCTATAATCACTTGGTGACTTTTTTTTCTGCTATAACATCGAAAATAACCAAAACATCCTTCAATATTTCTTCTATCTTCAATAACCATGATTTAGAAAGTTTTAAATGAGGTAAATAAACCCAAAGTCAATCTCACGGGTCTTTAATTTTTTTTCTTTTTCTCTAAATAAATGCCTTCAGAATGGGTCATTAATATTGATACAATAAATCATATTTCTTTTAATCTCTTATTTTAATATGATATTAAAATCTATTATAATAATATTAGAATTACTATATTATTCATTATCCAATATTAAATTTAATCATCTAAATATTATTGAATCGCTCATATCGAGATGGTGTGTCACTTATATTCTCAACGTGTAAACATGTATTAAAATTTCAATAAAAATACAATTAAATTAAAATATACAAGCGAAGTACCTTTTATATTCAGAGAGGAGTTAACAAAAATTACAATGTAACGAAAACCGTAATTACCTACACATGTAATACTTTAAAAATTAACCTATTCTAGTAACTTGGAATCAAAATTACTCTTGTTATTTTGTCCCGAGTATTTTAATCATTAATTCAAAATATAGTTTTATGTCAATTTTGTGATATTTTGGAAAAAATGTTTTCTTTTTATATCAAATTATATAGGATCCGACATTAGTTATATATATATACGTAGAGTTTTGTCTTCCTCAAACAAATGAGTGTTTTTTTTAATGACAACGACGACCACAAGAGTATTACGGGCATATAAAACCAAATAATACATTTCCTAAGTTTCTTTGAGATTTCGTCTTTTTTTCAATAGCTTCAACCTATATAAACTATAATACTAATGTGTACATTTTTCTTTTCACTCTTACGTGTTTATATTTATACGTGAACTAACCTTTATTTTGATGTTTTGCTTTTTGTGTGCTTTAAGAAAGAAATAAGAGAAATCCAAAAAGACACAATCAGTGAAAAGCTAAGAAATCATTTAAATACCACCATCGTCACCGGAAAAGAAGAAGGACAAAAAAGGAAAAAGTCTTAGTTCAAAACCATGTGAAAAAAGGAACCATAAATTTACTTCTTTTTTTTACTGACACGTTGACTTTCTCTCTAATGCTCATTTTTAACGATATTTTATACAATTAATGTTTATTTTTTTATTCCGTGCAACTTCCTATTATAAAGATTTTAAAAAATTATTATAAAGTTTTTTTATTGAAAATAAAAATATAAAATTTACATTAATTATTATAATTTCCCATGCAAAATTACGTTAATTATTATATTATTTAATATAATTTTATATCAACTAATTATTTCAATATAAATTTATATCTCCCGATGTAACATCATAACTTATTCAGTAAAAACCCAAAATAACATGATCTACCGAGCCTATACTGTAGTGAATATTGCATTCCGTGACATGGTTTTGACTGCTTGGCTCTTGCTTTTCATTTTCCCTGTTCTTCCATTTCCACTGTTGTCTCTCACTGTCCCATGCTAATGCTTGTGCATTATTGGGGTTTATCATATTCATTCAGCTTTTCTGGCCTCTATTAATGCCTCTCTCATTCACATTAATACACCAACCAAACACGTCCTCTCTGCACTGCACTCTTCATTACGCTACTCTCCATCTCTCTCTCTCTCTAGCCATGGGTGGGACAATACGAACCACTACAAAATATAAAGAATATCATATCACGTCTCTTCTCATAACTATCATTTTTCACTAAACGATAATTTAGATTGTGTGCTTTATTCGTTCTGCATGCGATATGAGAAGTAACATTCCTGCATAATTAAAATAGTTCAACAGCATAATCAACCTTAATAAAGTGCACGTAACTAAAATATTCAATTTATTTATTCTATAATATTTTATCTTCACACACAGATGATATACATTGTTGCCTTTCCTGCATCATCCATATTAATTCATGCACCATTCTCATACAATATTAATATTTTTTGGACTTTTTTTTAACACTATCAGCAATTTTTCTCATTTTATTTCTTCATATATATATATATATATTTCTCTCTCACCAATTGTGTTGAATAGTCTGGAATATCTAAAAAATTTTCAATTATTTTCACAGAATATGTAATAGTCAATGTGGTGCCCCGTCAACGTCACCTCTGCCACCGCCACTGCCGCCGCCACCTCCACCGCCACCAGCACCGCCGCCTCCAATAACAACAACAATAGTAACATTCCCTGTTTTTAAGTCATCGAGAGGATCCGCAGCATCCTTAAAGGCTTTCTTGGTATTCGAAGGCCCCAACAAATGTCGTGGTAGTGGATGAATGAGAGTGTGTTCATCCTTGACTTTTGCTTCATCTCCCTCTTCCAAAGAACTGGTGGCGAGTACAATGCACAAAGCAAACACGATCGAAAGAAGTTTCATTGCGAGATGGGTGAGGAAGGAGGAAGAGAAAAATAAATGTGTAAAATGGTGAAAGGTATTGGTGCAATGCAAGGAAGGAGAGAGTGTATATATACAGAAATGCTAGCAGTTAATTATAGAAAGATTCACTTCACTCCGATCACTCAACCACCACTTCCGAAGGAGTAAATGACGCTCAGATGTCTTTGTATTACTGATTTGATTAACTCCGCAACTTATCTCCATTACAAAGCCGGCTTTAAACACTTTGATTGGTACATTGAAGCGGATTTTGTTAGCTAGTACTTTTACCAACAGTTCGCGAGTATCTGTAGTTAGATATGGTTAGCTGCAAAATTACCTATATACGTATTTATTAGGCAAAAACACCGATTTGGTTTGGTCTAATCTATTTTTTAATTTGTCCATATATATATTAGGTTGAATTTCTATTTCATAACATGATTTTTTTTTTGCATGATTCATTTCTTAAAATAAAAAAAATTTCAGTTTCGAATCACCATTTTTAAATATTTTATTATTATTTAAATTAAAAGTCCTGTAATACGACTTTGTGTTTAAACTTTTTTTTTTGTAGTCGTGTAAACTTTTAAAAACAAATTATTTTCACAATGCTACATTATAAATATGTGTCCTGTTAATTATATTTGTTGTCATAATTAAATGAATATAAGAGAATCATTCATTAACGAGTTAGGGGATAATGCTGAATTTGGATGCTTCTTTTGTTTATTTTATGATTCTGAACATCTCATGTTAAAAATTAATTGTTATAATATATAAAATAAAATAATTAAGAATTTATTTCATCTAACACAACAGAGTTTAATAATATCCTTTATTTATTTTTTGCTTTGTAATTACAGTGTTTATAGTATGGAGAAAAATAGATTTTTTATTAACTGAGTGTACTTTATACTAAAATGTCACCTAAAAATAATTAAAAATAAAGGTTATATATATATATATATATATATATATATATATTAATTGATTATAAAGTCAATCTTAATCTAAGATATCTTTATTTTAATTAAAGGTGAATGTGATATGATACATAAGATATATCATAATCACATCTTTCGCATACTTTCACCCCTTACAAACACATATTAGATATATTTAAGAAGATTTGGTACTATATTTTAAATAAAAAATTAATATTTTTATATTTCTTCTGTAATTGATCTGTTTTATTAGATTTTAAAATTTTAATGTCATTTTAGCTATTTTATATATAAATTAAAAGTTATATCAACTTTAATTATTGGGGTTATGTATTATAAAATATATTGTTAATTAATTTTTATTAGTTATTTATAGATGTATTTGATGTCTTAATCTACCTTGTTTATATTATAAGTAAAATTTGAATATTTTATTAAATAATTTAATATTAGTATATATTTAATATTATTGATCACTTCTAAGTAATAAATTTAATTGAAGAAATTATTAATCCACATATATTCTTTATTAGAATGTACAGTTAGTTATTTAAGTTATACATTTTAGTATTTAAATAATTTGATTTTTTTTTCAACTTCTTATCATCTATGAGATAAGATAACTTTTCATGTACAGTATATTTGTTGTAACAATTTTCTCTTCTTTTAAATATTTGGCTTAAGTATATCATCATCATGTAAGTCATATTTTTCGTCAATTTAATTATAATTGAAGTGTTTAACTTATAACTTTAAATAACATGACTTATAAAATAAAGATAAAGTAAATAATAATATAATTTTCATGTATTTCAATAAAAACATTACTAAATTCAATTATACATTCATACGTATAAAGTTATAATAGAATCCTAAGGACATATTCTTATAACACATGTTTTCATAATCAAGATAACAAATAATAAACAAACATTTCAAAATTACAAAATCCTAATATTGCATTTGAATATTAAATTCCTTAAATGATGATTATCTTGTTTTCCTTATTTTTCTAAATAAGTTAATAGCTTATGATACTCTCTTTTTTTCTTATAACTTGACAAGATTATTACTAATTATTTATTTTAACTTATAAATTCTTTAATTTTTTCATAAATTAACTAATCAAAATTTTAAGTGGATAAATACATTTTATTAGTTATGACATTATTCAATGATGATTATTACAAAATCATTAGACAAACTTTTTAATTATGAATTTTGAATAAGCAACAATATAACCATTTAACGATAATTAATATATAATCATCATTGTATATGCAATAATGTAATAATTTAACAACAATTAATAGAATCATTGTTATATACGCAATAATATGACTATTTAATGACAGTTAATAGAACTGTGCACTAAAATAACTATTTGGCGATGGGTTTTGAATAATTATTGTTATATAATTCTCTATATCATACTATGCTTCTTCTTTCTTTATTTTTGTATTCTCTTATTTATCTGTCTCTCTCTCCACTCCACTCCTCTCCTTGATTGTCTCTTGCCTCTTCCTACAACTTGTGTCCTCCTTCTCCTTCCCTTCTCATTCTCGTGTCCTTTCTATATGGTGATGATGATAATGGTGTTCATGGTGGTGGATGGAGGTGCATGGAGTTTATTTTTAATTTCAATGTCATTTTAGTTATTCTATACATAAATTAAAAGTTTTAACAACCTTTATGATTGGTAGTTATGTATTATAAAATATATTGTTTACATTTTTTTATTGGTGATTTATAGATGTGTTTTGGTGTCTTAATCTACATGATTTATACTATAATACCAGAACTTGAATACCTTATTGAATATGTAAACATTAGTCACCACATTGAAATAATACATACCTAATATTACTTATGACTTTTAAGTGATAAACTTAGTTGAAGAAACTATTAATCCACGTATACATTATTTATTAAAGTGTATAATTAATTATTTAAGTCACGTACTTTTAGTATTTAAATAATTTATTTTATCTCTTTCTAGTCTAACTAACTTCTTATCATTTAAGAGATAAGATAACTTTACGTGTGTAAGATATTTGTTGTATTAATTTTCTCTCATTTAAAATATTTTGTTTGAGCATTCTACATGTTGCTTGAGCGAAACCATCATCATGTAAATCATATCTCTCACCATTTCAATGATGGTTGGAACATCTAACTTATAAGTTTAAGCAACATAACTTACAAAAATGAAAACAAAACAAGACAATAATGTAACTTTCATGCATTTAAATAAAAATATTACTAAAGTCACCTATCCATATTTGTACCATATATTGATACAGGTAAAACAATAAAGTCTTAAGAACATATTCTTATAACATGTTTTCATAATCAAGATATATAGCAAATAAAAACAAATATTTCAAAATCACAAAATCCTAACATTGTATTTGAATATTAACTTCCTTAAATGGTTATCTTGCTTTCCAAGTAAGCTAGTAGTCCATGATATTCCTTACTTTTCTCTTACAACTTAGGGAAGATCTATGATATCAAGATTATTAGTAATTATTTATTTTAACTTATAAATTCTCTAAATTTTTCATAATTGGATTTTTGATAAAGTGTTCTTATGTAAATCAAATTTTAAAGTAGACAAATACATTTTCATTAGTACAAAATATATAAATGACGATATTATTTAATTATGATTATTATAAAATCATCGTTGAAACAAATATAACCTGACAATTTTGTAATCAAGCAAAGTTTTTAATGATGATTTTTGAATGTGTAATAATATTACCATTTAACAACAATTAATAGATCATATATGTAATAATATAATTATTTAATGTCAAATAATATAATTGTTACAATAAAATAACCATTTAACAACGAGTTTAAAATAATTATTGCTGTATCTTAAATATAACAACGATTATTTATAAAATTATTGTCATATTTCTTATTAAACTTTTTCATTTTTATTTTATTTTTGGGTACTCTCAATTCTTCTCCCCTCTCCACTCCACTCTTCTCTTTTCCTTGCACCATTGTTCTCCCTCCTTGGTCATCTCTCTCATTAGTTTCTTTTCTATTTTAAAATAATAGACAACAAACTATAATGAAGGGAAAAAAATTTGGATTTTCTTATATACAATATTAGAGTTTTTAAGAATAAGAGTGAATAAAAGAGAGACATATTCTAACTAAATATTATTGTAAGTTTTTTTTTTTATATATATCTTCCAACAGTATAATTATATTAATAAATAAATTTTACATTAGTAGAAACCATCTAAATTACTTCTTATGAAATTTTGGAGAATGATTTCATTTGATGCATATCCAAATTTGCCACCATGTAACATTTAATATAGTAAATAATAGGGCATTTTCAATTTATCAATAACTCTTAAAATATGAAAAAGAAAATCTTAAAATATTTAATAATATAAGTTCGTTAATATGAATTTTTGGAATATTTTTTTAAAATAATTACCAAAATTGCAATTTCATCTTTAAATTAAAAATAATTATTTAATAAAAGTAATATGTTGGTAATATCATATTTTTTCATATATTAAAGAAACTAAAATATGTATATCTAATCTCTCATAAAATATTTTATCTACACTTGTTTTGACAAAAAGTAATATTTAGACCTTGGTTATTTTTCATATTCCTCTTATTATTCTACGGTCCGATTTTTTATTTTTTAACAAATCAAATATTTTTGAAGTTTATATATTTATAATAATAACCAAATAGTATAGATATTTTTTTTTTAATAAATTTAAGCAGTCTATGAAACGCTATCGTTTAACTTTGTACAGACAACTCATTTTATAGAGAAAGAACTGACAAGAAAAACTGAACCCTAACGCCAATTAGTTTTGCAATCCTAGAGCTGAACGGAAATTTTCTCTGCAACTGCATTTTCTTCCCTTTCCACCCCAGCGATTTTAGAGTTTAAATCATAGAGATTCAATTTTTTTTCTTCGCAGATATGTTCGAATATTAACTTGTCCTATCGAAAATAATCACATGGAAAGGGAACGTACAAGGAAACGCCCTCGTCTCGCATGGGACGTGGCCCCTCCCTCAATGCCTGAGGTAAGGTTCTATCAATTTCCCGGTTTCAGGTTGGATTAGGGTTTCTTATTCACCTGGATATGTTCAGTTTTTACATCGTTCATTGTAGGCTCAACTGGCTTTGCCGGTACATGGTGACGAAGGAATTGAAAGAAAGCATGTTTCACCTCCGAGACGGGACGACGATCGCGAAGGACATTATGTCTTCAATCTTGGCGAAAATCTCACTCCTAGATGTAATTTTTTTAGTGCTAGGGTTTTCTTGAAATTTAATTGTCATATGTAGATGATTTTGGAAAATCAAATTAATTTAGTTAAATTTTTAATTTGGTGTATCTTTTAATGAAGGCAAATATTAATCTGTTGTTAGATTCTTTCATCACGATGCAAGAATATTTTGTTTTTTTCTGTCTGCTTTTTCTTATGCTTTTTTTTTTTTTTTTCATTTTTAAACAGATAAAATCCTCGGCAAGATGGGTGAAGGTTAGCGGTCAAGTGTCCTCTCAATACAAAAGATTTTAATTTTTTTGTCACTGCGCATGTGTCATTCAGCATGTTGCTAGTGCTGTAGGCACATTTGGTCGGGTATTGGAATGTTGGGACCGCCAAACTAGAGAATATGTGGCTATCAAGGTAGTTAGAAGCATACGGAAATATCGAGATGCAGCTATGCTTGAGGTTGATGTGCTTCAACATCTAGCGAAGAATGATAGAGGAAACTCACGGTATGAATCTTATGGAGTAAAATGGATACTGTGAATTCATTTATTGCTCATTGTTTATTATAACAAAGGATGATTAGTATTTATTTCATTTTGCACACTATTTGCAGATGTGTGCAGATCCGAGATTGGTTTGATTACCGAAATCACATATGCATTGTAAGTATGCTAATAGTTTTATTTTTAAACAGATATTTCCTTGGTTTACTATATTAAAAAAAGTTTACTTTTGAGAAAATTGATGGAGTGGAAGATGCTTTATTACCTTTTGGAGGTGGGAATGAGGGGGGTTAATTTTGTGTAATGGATGAGATGCTTGGAATTTTGAATATATCTTGGTTTATTTTTATTTTTTTTTCACCATTGATATGTGCATGTCTCTTTTTTTCTCTGTTCTGCTTCTTGTTCTTTGGGATGGATAAGTGATTAATCCTCATTCATGTATCAAATGAATGAGTTGTTAAGTTCCGCTATAGTGTTTTGATTTATGTCCGTGTGGGCTTTATTCATGGATTTGATAACTAAGCAGAGACATTCCTTTCAATGCATTTTAATGGTGTTATCAGGTCTTTGAGAAGCTTGGACCAAGCTTATTTGATTTTCTAAAGAGAAATAAATACTGCCCATTCCCTGTGGATCTTGTTCGGGAATTTGGACGACAGCTTTTGGAATCTGTAGCATGTCTGTGGATTATTCTTGGCCTTCAGTTTATTTCTCTTGTTTCATTCCTAAGTCTCTTGCTTACTGATCAAACCATGGCTTTTCCCTTGGCCTGCTTTCTTTGTCCAGGGATGCAGTGTATCTTAGCTGTGTCTGCTTACTTGACTTTTTCTTATTTTTTTTATAATATTCAGATATGCATGAACTACGCCTAATCCACACTGACCTGAAGCCAGAAAATATACTTCTAGTTTCTTCTGAATATGTAAAGCTCCCTAGCTATAAGGTATTTAACATTTTTAGATGGAAACTTAATAATGTTTGTAGACTCAGTTATAATATATGTAAGAAAAATAATTGGATTGGTACAGAGAGTTTCCTCAGATGAAACGCAGTTCAGATGCTTGCCCAAGTCTAGTGCTATTAAGCTGATTGATTTTGGTAGTACTGCATATGATAATCAGAATCATAGCTCCATTGTTTCTACAAGGCATTACAGAGCCCCTGAGATTATACTAGGTAACTAAGTATGGTTTTGGCTGCTGAGAATGTTTACTTGTTTTTCATTGCCCTGTCAAGTGTACGTGTGTGTTACATAGAAAGTATGTGGTGTCTGGGACCGAAAATTGTGGATGATGAGTAAGAGGTAGTTTAACATGCTATAATGTTGTCAATTTATACAACACTTATGTGGTCAAACTTTCCAGGACTACATACGTTTGTAACTTTGTATTATCCTGGACTTCTGTAGCTCTCTGTATTGGCTGTTGAGTCCTCTGTACTGTAGTGAAAGACATGTTTTATTGTATTCTTTTTTATTATGTTGCATTTTTTCTTATTTATTTTCCACTATTTTTTGGTGCCCCTTGTTTCCCCTTGTACTTTTTATCAGTTTCTAACTTTGTATCTATCTTTTTCTAATGTAGCCATGATCTGATGTAATGAGGCCATTATAGACTATTACATAGGTTATTTACTTGATTAGCATTGTGCGACCAATGAATTTAAGACTAGCTGGGTCCGTATTTAGTTTATAATGTGTACTTGTTAATGTATTCTCACCTGCATCTTAAATGATAATTGCAGGTCTAGGCTGGTCATATCCATGTGATCTGTGGAGTGTTGGATGTATTCTAATCGAACTATGCTCGGTTTGTCTTCCATGTACTCAATATATATTAGGCGTGACATGAATCTGGAACAACTAGTCTTAGGCTCTAAATGAAACTTTTGTCAGGGTGAAGCATTGTTTCAGACTCATGAAAACTTGGAGCACCTGGCAATGATGGAGAGAGTTTTGGGACCTATTCCGGAGCCCATGATCCGAAGGTGCAAGTATGTAGTGAATTTATGAATTTATAGATTTTTTTTTTTAATTCCCCTTCCGATTTGGTTTTAGACACAGTCGGAGTGAGTCTTCCATATTATGAATCAATGTCTGGGAAAGCATAAAGCTGAATAATTAATTATTATCGAGTTTAGTAAATTTACACAATAACATATGGTTATTGTTCATTTGCTCTTCAATATGTAGTAAGGGTGCAGAAAAGTATTTTAAGCGTGGATCTCGACTAAGATGGCCTGAAGGAGCAGTTTCAAGGGAGAGCATCAATGCAGTGAAGAAGCTCGGTCATCTGAAGGTTTGTTATGTTTTCCTACTGCCTTATCAGTAATTCCTTGGCTTGAATCTTCAACTGATTAGTGCAGTTATATGAAGTTTGGTAATGACCCATATTATTCTTGATGCAGGATATTGTATCTCGAAGTGTGGACTCTTCAAGGTCCTCCTTAACTAACTTGTTACATGGCTTATTATCATATGACCCAACCAAACGTCTAACAGCTCGTCAAGCCCTCGATCATCCTTTCTTTAGGAATCCAACTTGAGAAGCATATTATTCCAGGTTTTTGGAGTGACTTCCATGGTAAACATTGTCAGTTGCACAGGCTACAACTTTGAATGTATCTATTTCTTTATTCTCTATAGCAATGGTTCAGTCACGTTGAAAATATATTTTAATTTTATTATTCTTTGTTTTCATTTTGTTCATTTTTCAAAACTTTCAGCCACATCAGTTTTTTTCCCCTTAATTCCCCTCTACTCTGGCAGTATGAAAACTCTGGTAACTTAACAAGGTTTAGGGGAGAACATGCATAAACAAGTTCAGGGTATAACTCAGAGATTTGGTTTCTGGAGTAGACCCAACCTACAAGTACAGTAAATGAAAAAAAAAAAACCCACTGAGTAGTCCTGAGCTGGAAGGGAAAGAAAAATCTGTACGTATTCAGGATTCGAGTGATAAATTTGCTTTCAAAGTAAGATTTTTTTAGATCTGGATTTTGTGGACTTTGACAAAGGTGAATAGTAAGATTTTTCTTTTACGAATATTAATCTTTATATTAATGACATGTTATGAAAAAACTTTGTTTGTCTTATTATTTTTTATTTAGAGAACCGTTAATAATGTACCTTCTATTAATTTTCATCTATCCTTTCTACCGGTGAAAATTTACTAAAACGAAAGTGCATGAGTTTAATTCATAAAATGACTTCTGTTTATAATTTTGTAATTTGAATTTAATTTAATTTTTTACGAGCAAGAGTGAGGGGTTAACAAAAATGTTAGAGAATATATTGTTATGATTAATGTGCATTGATTAGGAAAATCTAAGTAATAATATAGAACATTAAGTATAATGAATTTGTCATAGCATATCTCACTTGTCTATGAATAATTTTGAACGCCTTAGTTTATACTTTTACTTCGTGCCTGTTATTATGTATATAACGAAGAAAAAAAAAAGTGGAGAAAGTAGAGAAATGTAACTAAAGTTAGAAAGTGAGAAAAAGAAACACAATGTTTCCTTGAACCTCAGAACTTTGCAATTCATCCAACGGGGTTTGCCCCTGCAAAGAGAAGCAGCTCCACCCTTTTTGTAAGGCAAAACCAATTGGTTAGAAATCCAAATTAAACGAAAGAAAAAAAAGCGGTAAATCTGACCTAATTTTCAAGAATCAAAAATAGAAAATAAATGTTTTATTTCTTTATTGTAAAAGGACATTAAATGGGCCAGATAACTTCCCTCCAAAATATCTCCCTTTATAGGCATTTTTAACCAGAGGGAGTTAAAAAAAAATTATTTTACTATGGGCTAAATGGTGTAAGTTGTAATGATTTTGGGGGTGCTAAGAAAGCACAATTTTGATTGAAATCAGTTAAATACGATTTTTTTTGTTTCAATTTTTTTTTTAAAACATGCTTTGTAGTACGAATTACGCACAAATGCTCTTACATTGAATTCATGCTACCTAATACGAGTTTGTCATAGTTTTTTTTTTTTCAAAATAGAAATTTTTTTAAATGTTTATTTATTAAATAATTATTTTTAATTAAATTATTAATTTAATAGAAAATAAAATTATTTAGACATAGTTAAATTTAATTCATTACATTTATATTAAAAATATATTATATTATTTAAAAAAATACAAATTTATTGTTAAAATAGACAGTTTGTACGATTATATCCTTCGTTTCGATAAAAGAAACATTTTTTTTATTTATTTCTAACTTGTACATCCATTTTATTTCAAATCCAATTAATTGTAGGTGTTCCTGATTTGTCTCGACACATATTAGGATGAAGACAAAAATTTGGACTTGTATAAGTAGACCAATAATCTCCATTTCAAACCGGATGAAATTAAAATTCGTACGCCTTATAAATACTTTGTAAGTTGTAAACCGGATCAATAAATACAGTCAGTTGTACATGACAAGAAGAACATGAGAACAAGGGAGTCGAAGAGCTTGAAATTCCTCACAATCACACTACAATTGATTTAATCAAACTATGTAATTTACCGATTTTCGACGATGCTAGGGATTGATTAGATTGATCTTGTACGTCAAACTCATAATTATCTTAATTATACCTTTGAACATGACACATTCGAGCACGTTGTTCATTTTTGTTAAGTAATGTAGTAATATGTTCTGGATACTTATTTTCAACTCGTAAAATGTACTTTACTTTCATGCCTCTTTCCACAAACCAAGATTTAATTCTTTCAAAATTTGTTTTTACTAAGACAAATATAGATATAGGTAAAACCCGTGCTCCTTTGAGAACAAAATTCATTGATTCAGTAAGATTTGTTGTCATATGTCCATATCGCTTCCTCCATCATAAGCTTGAGTCCATTTCTCTAATGAAATCACCTAACCAGGACTTTTGTTATTGAAAGTTAGACCTTAAAGTAAATAGTTTTGCTAAAATTTTTGGTTGTTTCATCTCATATCCTTCATAGAAAATAATAATTTTAGACATATTTTATTTAGAGAAAAAAATTTATCTACGTTATAAGATGTTACTTAGATTGATGAGTTGTCTTTTCAAATCAACATTTTTGAACTTTTTGTTGAAATTTGAGGCAATGTGATGAATACAATAAATTAAGGTGAGATCATTCCAATTAAGATCTTTTGATTGTAAAGCTGACAATATTCCTTTGTCTCTGTCTATTATCATGCATAAATTATTTTGAGGTATAACTTAATGTCTTAGAAGTTGCAAGAACCATACCAATGTCTCTTTTGTTTCACCTTCCATAATTACAAATGCAATTGGAAATACATTTTTATTACCATCTTGTGAAGTTAAAAATGTACCGTCAACTTGAATAATTGGCTTGCAATATTTGAATCCTTCTATATATAGCCTAAATGACTAGAAGACACACTCTAATATAAATGATGGATTATTATGAACACCATGCACTGAATAAGGAGAACAAATATATACTGAACAATTATACCAAAATTACTATCTTCAAAAGCTTGCAACTACCTTGGAAGATCATTATATGTCCCAATCTCCAAATGTCAAAGCAAGTGCCTTTTGTTTCGTTACCCATGTTTTTTTGTAAGTCATTGTATAACCATGTTTGTCTTTAACTTCTGCAATCAAAATTTTAATAGAAACAGAGAGATCTGTTTTAACTAATTCAAAAACAATGTTAACAATGATGGAAGAGTCTAAGTTTTGATGATCTGAGTTTAACATTGTGCATATAACATTTGATCAATTAAAATTAAATGAGGTATTTCATTTAATACAACTTTTGATATATATATTTCTTAAATGATAATAATTCTAATTTTACAAGTTCTATAAAATAATACAGTTTGTGTGGACTTCTTATCGTTGTCCTGGGTTATAAAGACTAATAAATATTGATGTTTTTCCTGTGAGTCGTATTATAGTTCAATTGATATGTTTTGCTATTGTTGAGTCTCATCCAACAAATCGGGTTATGAGGCAATTTGGACTTTGCCAACCAATTCTAGAAGATCCGGTCAATCTTGACAAACTTTACGGACAAGACATGAGAGGTAGAATGAATAGATTTTGACCTCAATACCATGAAACTTTGATTACTATGTGGAATGACCATCTATTTCTGGTGAAATTTTTGGTTGTTTCAATTTCCTAAAGACTAAGTTCTAACCAAATTTCAACCACCGTAAGTTCTTTTTATTTAGGCTAGCAAACAGTTTTTCAATAAAAAATGTATGAAAATCGAAAGTATTAAAATATCGAGCCAAATCGATGAAATAAAGCGTGAATATTAGAAACACGGAAAACATATTAAAAAGCATACAAACTGAAATCGAAAGTTCTTTTTTTGTATTTTTTATTAAGAGACTCGAGAATATGAAAATTAGCATAAGTAAAGAAAACAGTAAAAAGGTGTCGAGACAAAAAAGTAACACATAAAATTAAATTGCACAAGAGTAAATGACCAAGTAATCGAAATAATTGGAAAATATAGAAAAGTAAATTTAACTTGTAAATAGATAAATTACCGAGAAAGTAAAGAAAGCTTTAAAAGATATCGAGACGGATGCAGAAGTTTAAATTGCATAAAAGTAAATGACAAGAAATTGGTAAAAGATATCGAGACAAAGATGTAATGCAGAATCTTAAATTATATAACTGTAAATGACAAGGAATTGGTAAAAGATATCGAGACAAAAATGTAATGCAGAATCTTAAATTGCATAGGTGTAAATGACAAGGAATTGAAATAACATGAAAGAAAAGACACGTAAAATTAAATTGCATTAAAGATAAAATACTAGGGAAAGTACAGAAAGCGGTAACAAAAGTCAACAAAAGTGGAAGCCAAAAACTCCATGATTCGTCGTTCTCCGGTAAACTTGCACAATAGATTTCTGCTCTCTCTGAAAATTCCTCTTCCTTCTTCATGCTTCATTTTATTTATAAACTTCTTCAAAGTAACCTCCTAAGAATGGTTTAGAAACCGCTATCACGTTCTCATGTATGAGATAACTGCTTTCTCGATCTCGACCTCAGCCATGGTTTAGAAACTGCTGTCCATGTTCCCATGTGCACGCTAACTGTTCCCTTGATCTCGACCTCAGTCACGGTTTAAAAACCGCTATCCATATTCACATGTACATGATAACCGTTCCCTCGATCTCGACCTCAGCCATCGAGTACTTTAAACTGCTTCTGACCACCTAAGAACGGTTCAGAAACCGCTACCATATTCCCATGTGCATGATAACTGTTTCCCTCGATCTCGATTCCAGTGATCTAATACTTTGAACTACTTCTGACTTCCCTCAAACTTAACTTCACACTCAATACTTTTTATCGATTTTTTACTCCCAATCATGTTTCATCGAATTTCCTCTATCTTCTTTCGATTCAGATTCTTGATTTTCTCTAATACATGGTCATCGGATTTCTCTTATCCATTTTTGATTCAGACTCTTGATTTTCCCTAACACATGGTCATCGAATTTCTCCTATCCATTTTCAATTCAGATTCTCGATTTTCCTTAACACATGGTCAT